TGTACTGTGGGTGGTAGTTTTCCAAAGGCACTGCAGGAAAGATGCAGATTGTCAAAACAAAGGTAGGGAGACTCCGGTTTCTCTTGACTGAGCAGTCACATCATTTTCAAAAGAAACTTGTTATTATCATAACAAGCACTCAAATTACAACAGAATGGCCTTCTGTTAACTCTGCAAGAGATCTGGCTGCACCCACCTAAATGTGTCAGAAATTAAAGTCTAACTGTCATGAGGACTGATAGTCATAGAAAAAAGGTATGTTCAATTTGCATTTCTATTGAAATACTGTAGGCTTTATTACTTTTTCAAAAGTGAGATCAATTTCTATTCTGTCCCTAATCACTATGAAACTATTTCCCTTTCCTTAAAAAAAGAAAATGAATGGGGAAAATAGTTGTAACTCTTGCTAGTACCTTTGGCAGCACCCTGGATTTTCATTGTGCTTGCTTCAAAAACTGTGAAATGTCAAAAATTTCAGTACAAAGCTATGTAATTTTGTGAGCTCAGGGAGTAATGAGATTATGATGAAAGAGACGAATTGTCATGAATTTGACATTCTGCTCATAACATTATTCATCTCTAATTAATACAACGTGTCCAAAATACATACTTTACTGTATTTGGTTTCATTCTAGGGATAAACACTGCAACCTACTGGCAAAATCGTGCTCTTAAATGGCCCATTATTGCACTTACCAGATAATGACCTTACCCTTGCTATTCTGTGTTCAACTAAAAAAATAGTAGTAGTGAAATCCATTAAATAGAATTTTGGTAAAAACAAATGTCTTTACATTTCTGCATATATATTAAGCTAGAAAACTCAATTAAGGGAATTCACTAAGCAGATATTGTTTCAGTCTGAATAATTACATCTCCAGATTAACATTCTTCCATAAATGATTGGAATCGGATCAAAATGAAGGTTGGAGTTGCTCTTTAGATCTGAACACCAATAATAAATATCTGTAAATATCCTGCCTCACTTTGCAGATAAGCAAAAATATGACATAAATGCAATAATTTATGTTGGGTCAGATTTAACATTATAACTTTCTTCATATCCCATATGTACTGTAAGTGCCGATCAGCGGTATCTTATTATTTTTCCTTGTGGATTTGAGCTACTGTAGCAACTAATACGCCTTCGCCACGCCCCCCGAGACCAGGTCACTGCCATCACCACCCTCCTGTCTGTAATCCTATCCAGATCCAGCTGTTTACCTGTTGTCCTCCTCCAGTCACTTCCGGATTATACCGTCAGCATAGGGTCCTAAACATCGCCAAGTCAGGACCGGCTCGCGTGACACCAGTAGTCTAAAATGTCACTTGCATCTGCTGACTTTGGAATCTTAACCTCCTTAGGAAACCATTATAACAGTTACTTCTCAAAACATAACAACAAAATGTCCATTTCATAATTGTATAGTTTCTGTGAAATCATTGTACATCCATTTGTTTACCATGTTATTTGCAACAGGGTGGAACAGAGAGTCGAGAGCTTGTTTTATTTTGAAAAACAAATTCACTTGCTTCAGCACAGAATAAATAAAACAGAAGAGAGGACAAGACTTGAAATGGAAATGAGAGCTTTAATGTCATTATTGAAAAATGGCTTTTCCTGAAGCAGATAACTGAAAGTCACTTTTCTGCTCATTCTGTTTGCTGTTTTGTCATTTAGACAGCACCCCCACACTTATTTTGAAATTCATGAGACAGTTTGTAACCTTGAAGATCTAAGCTTGGCAGCGTCTCTTTATCCTTGTTCCTAACTTCCTCTAAATAATTGAAAGATCTCTTACTAATTTGGCTCAAACTCAAACACCCTTGAACACAAAACCAGCATTTAATTGCCTATTTTACAAATGCTGTACACACATTATTCTTGTGATGCTGCATTAATTACCACAAGCAGAGGCAGAGTTGAATTAATAAAGCACAGGTCACTGAGATTCGTTAAGGACAACACCTTAACTCAATTGATTCCTTTGGGTGTAAATAAATGAGAATTGTCAGACTATAGTAGACAGTATGAGTATTTTCATTACAAAATTGACATAGTCAAGGGGTAGTTGTAAAGGTGGAAATACAGTAGGTAACAAGAGGGTTGCTTCAGTGCCAGACATTAGGATCCGATTTAATCTCAAACAATACTAACTGTGGCATGCCTGTATGTCGGTGTATGCCTTGGTGACTTTATGGTTTGACAGATAAATAGTAGAACTGTATTTTGCTTCTTAATTTATAGACCAACTTATTAGCATCCTGCAAATAAAATGTGTATAGTCCAAACAAAAAGGTTTTACAAAAGTAGTCACATAACCATATTAATTATAAGATGATAAAGGTTTAAAATATTGTTTTGTGCTAACATATACAGTATATTAAATCTAAATCACTGAGAACTGTACACTCAGGTTCCAAAAACAGTAATAAGATATAAAAGTTAAGTCTTTTATTGAAATGCATTTAAAAAAATAACTTCTGAGTCTAGTCCACATTCATTCTGATATTAAAATTAAATAAATCCTTCACATTTTCAATCAATAATCATGTTGTTGATCTTAAACATATATTTTTTTGACTGTCAGTTTCTCAATGTGATTCCATCTTCCTGCCTAACTGCTAAATTTGTTCAGCTTTGATGTGTGCTTGGTTGAATGTTATCATTACAATATTATTGCTATTTCAATAACAATCACAGCAATAGCACCTCCTAGTCATTACATAAAGAATAGATTCTAATACCATATAATGTCATATGGTTCACTCACATTGTTCTAAAATGTATTTATAAGCCAGGTGCAACCTGACTGGCCACCAATATGAGCACATATAGTAACACTTCCTCGCGATCATGATTGTGCATCAAGTAAATGACTAATGAAATCTGCACTTTTCAAAGCTTCATACTGTCCTAAATTAGGTCTAGAGAGTCCTAATTATGCCTTGACCTCCATGATCATGGACATTTAAAACTTCACTGTTTTTTTTTTATTCCTCCAGACATATGCTTCATATTCACATACTCCATGCTTCCAAAGAATTAGAAGACAGTTCAGATTGGTCTGGTTTCATGCTTTGAACTATGAACTATGAACTATGGTTTCATGCTTTGAACTATGAATGCTATGAACATTCCCATAGTTCATAGCATCTACTTGCTCTTAAAAGACATGGCAGTCCTTAAAGATGTTCCTTTTAAGATACTTTGAATCGCCAGCAAATTAAGAAGAAAGCATGATATTAATTTGCAATTGTGTCAGTTTAAATGTGGCAGTCATTTCTCTACTGTACGATTTAGGGATATATTTAGTTTTGAGCTCTTATACTGAACTTTACAGTTCAGTGACAAAAACTTAAGGTGAACCTATACAATTTTGTGAGTATTTAGTAAGTTGTTCTGTCTATGCATTCCTTCTGGAATTCTAGACACCTTAGCGTGCATCTTAACGTGCATCAATCAAAATACTTCTGTTATTTTAAGCATGTGTTGCATTTCAGGGTTTGACGCCCACCAACACATCTTGATTAAAAACATAATTGCATAGAAAGCCAGTAATTGTGTCTTTTCATTATCAAGAATCTTTAATTACAGTGTTATCCACCAAAAATGCCAGTTCTTTTACAAAGAATTAATTATTGACTTAAAACGCCTATTACTTTACACTATGATATCAACTAATGTTTTTCACTACTTTTTTATAAATATATATTAATAGCATGTAATGGTTATATTACAGATGCAGCCTTAAAAATTTAGTTAGTTAAAGACTTCGAAGCTTAAAATGTTTAGGGAGAAATGGAATACTGGTGTGTATTTTTTTCTTTAAAGTACCAAGACCAGCTATATACTGTATGTTTATGTTCCAAAATTAATATCGTTTATGGCCTTCACACGCGTTACAGTATGCTCCTATTCTTTTTATGCTCAGCTACTAAGATTTCCCTTCAGTGGTAAAATTCAATATCTACAACGGGCACAGTAAAGACGTTTACAGTAAGTCTTTCTACGACAGACCAACGGACCACGAGTGCCCCTGTCGGTCAACCAATCAAGTACCGTGTCATCTTGCGTCATGATACGCGATACCACAGGCAATTACCTGCGGTACGTGTCTGTACCGCGCACTTTGAACAGCTGCATCTGTACGACTTTGGCTGATGTAGTACATCAACGCAATTCAGTAAATATCACAATGACTTTATTTCTTTGTCTAGAATGTATTTCTGGAAGGTGAAACAAAAAGACTTGACTTGCTAGGGTTTAAATTCATGAAGAAACAAAAAATGATTGGAATATTACAACATTGAAGGGATTTTGTAATATGCAATGGAGAATTAAGTTTTTCAGTTTCATTCAGTGGATGCTGGTGGATGCTGCACATTGGTGGTGGTGGAGAGGAGTCTCCATTACCTGTAAAGCGCTTTGAGTGGAGTGTCCAGAAAAGCGCAATATAAGTGTAAGCAATTATTATTATTATTCATTCCTTTACATTGTGTCTCTAATAACTCTGGTCATATTCCAAAGTGCAGTTACTAAATATTAATTTTGTATTATTTCATGGAACTAGTAACATGAAATAATTAATTAGTGAGTGTTGAACTTTGTACATTACTCACTTATCTAATAGTTTCTAGCAATGTATTGCAAAAAGCAATGAGGAACGGAATTGTAACAATAAAAAATCTAGTTCTTTCAGTGTCCACCAGCTTTGTCTTTGTTGCACATCATGTTTACCACTTCAAAAAGAGCATGGCTTGCTTTTTGGTTTGGGTCACATGACTTGGCACTGCCACAAACAATTCCCACCAAAAAAACAGCTTAGTGGAGACAAAACAATTATATTAGAAAGCACTTGACACAGCAACGTTCTTCACATTAGAATCAGTTTAGTAGCCGACAATGGAATTCCTGCTTTGTGATTTAAATTGCAATGTGCTGACAAACTCTGGAAGGAACTGGGGCGTGGGGGCATGGTGTGACTCACTAATCTTTTTACTTATTTTGCAGAAACACAAAGTGTACACTTTAGTTCAGCATGTGGCAGCACAGAGTGAGCACCCTGGTTTTCACACACTAAAGGGGACCAAGAGGGTTAACACACTGGGAGAAGGACTCGAATAAACTGGAAGGATGTTTAAGTCACGTTACTCGCATGAGGTGCGCAAGGAGAAATACGAACGTTCAGATACGTTTGAAGACCAAAACATCCCAGCTGTCTCCAGCCTGGGTTCAGCCACACAAGGATGGGAGAGTTTACAAGACCTGAATGACCGTTTCGCAAAATACATCAACCGGGCCCGAGTCTTGGAGCAGAGAAATGCTGTCTTCAGGAAGCAGTTGGAGACCCTTCAGAGAATGGAGGAGATCTCAGGACTGGAGGAAGTCTTTAACGAGCAGATCAGCGTCAACCGCCAGAGAATCCGGGAACTGTCTTCAGATCAAGCAAAGCTGGAGAGAGAGCTGAAGGATGCCGAGAGGATGCTGGATGAGTATCACAACAAGTAAGAGTAACTGGGGTTTAGAATTGTGGTGAAGCCATATTACGGAGAATAAATGCCAAGAAATGTTGCTCTCTTCCATTTTCATCTTTGAAATTTTACTGATCTAATTCAGATCTAATCTGATTCTTAATTACTAATTAAGAAGTATACCAATTGTTTATCTTTATTATGAAATAATGCAGGCCTTGACAAATAACAGAATTAAATACATTCCATGACTGATATTTTGAAATCTGTGAGAAAGCTAAACTTTTAAATACATTTTCAATTGATTCTAAAGTTTAGTAAGATATACAGTATACATATATATCATCACCTAAAATACAACCAAACGTAACCCATAATACTGATCAGCTTCTGAACAGTCTACATGTACATCTGGCAAGGGTGAGTTGCAGCTGGTGCTGGCAAGCTGGTGTTAAAGATGTGTTATGGGACTCAGGAAAGAAAGCTAGCCACGGCCATACCATTGTATTCCTTGCACTAAGTGGTCCTCCAGTTACGTTCTGGGATTGGCTTGCAAGAACAGTGAAAATGTTGTGGGTTAAAGAACGCAACAGTCAGCATAATGCTGGCCAGTCTCCAGTCAGGTCTGTCAAGGGCAAAATGGCATGTATTGACGTGCACAAGCACTACTTTCTCTGCCACCACCTAAGATGTTCTTCAGCCCAAAGAACATGTTGATTTCCTTCAGAAGATGTTACTCCTAGGTTGTCTCTGAACTTGCTGATCATTGTCATGCATGTGCCAGTCAAAGTCATTCTGCTAATGTGCAGATTTTCTCTGTGGAATGTCCTGTGCTATAGGCACTGCAGTCTGATCAAATGGATGGGGCAGTCCTAGGCTGGACTATCCTCATGTTTTATGAGATGCCAAGGTGCTATACTAGCTAAACAAATAACATATCTGTTCACTATTTATCACTATTTAAAGTTTAGATAACATTATACATGTGTCCAGTGAGCTACGGATAAAAAACTGTTTTTTTACTATACATCAATACAGAAAAAATTATGGGTGATGAGCACATGTTTTCTCTCATTTTTTGTGTTTTGTGTTAGGCTATTAATTCAATAGAAACTTCATTTAGTAAAACATGTACAGTAAATGCTCTATTTATTCTTTATTGTTTTGATAAATCAAGAGGAACTGAAGACATACAGTATTCCAAATACATTTTACTCATGCTGGCTTTCCAAGAGTTATTGTAACAGGTCTAATGACTGATAAAAGATTCATCCTGTGAAGTTGCAGCTTTTTATGGCAAAGTGAGTATGTAAATGTTTTGCCCCTCCTGTGGCTACAGGTGCTAGTTTTGGTGGGAGTACAGAGGATTTGGTTTAGATTTCATTTAATGAAACAAAATCACATGGTAGGCACCAAAGTGGACAAATGGTAAATATCTGTTAACATCTCAATTAATATAATTGTCAAAGCACAGAAACTGTAAATTGGAATCCTTAATTTGGCACACTGGTACTGTATATCCTCCTTCTTTGATTTGTACCTAAGGAACAATACATTTTACCTTTGCAATTCTCAGATACAGCAATGAATGTGAATATCAGCAGCAGCTACGGGGGACACTGGAACAGCTCAACAAGGTAAAACACTGCAGAGTGCATTAGAAAATTGGAATTGTCTAAATATATGCAAATTTAAATACAAATATGAAGTAATTTAATAAATGAAAATACAGATTAATTACTTTGGGTGGGTTCTGATCTTTCATCCTTTATTAAACAGGATTTTAAATAAACATTGCGGTAGTTGTAACATCTGTAACATACGTAACATCTGAACAGTTCTAGCTTTGTAAATACATATCAATTGATGTTTTGATTTTTAAGAAATGTAAATATAGAATTAGCCCTAAAATAAAAATTCCTGAAAATTTAAGAATCTAACATTAAAAGTACAACATGAACCAATACAGAAGGTATTAGTGTAAACCTACGCTAAAAGAAAATATAGAAGGCCAATGTCACTTATTACACAGTACATTATTTCTTCTTGACTTACAGAAGGACGTCAAATTTAGCACATCAAAACATGACAGATTAATCAAAGTTCTTAATAGTCTTGAAGACATTTCTGAGGAAAACATGTGATAGTTCAAGTAGGTAGCTGCGTCAGCATGCATAGGCTGCAAAGGAACAAGTAAAGGTTCATTCCAGGCTGAAAAGAGAAGAAAGGAAACACAGCGTTTCGACTGTGGAACCTTCTTTGGGTTGTTAGTTCATGTAGTTAATGACACTCTGAAGTGAACAGAGGTTTTAAAGACATTTCTGAGATGACAGCAGCCCTGATCCCCTTTGTCTCTGCTACTGCAGCTTGTAATCTCCATGATGTCGCTTCCTTAAAATCCATAAATACCATAGTGAGCCCATCTCTGTTTCTTCCATCCATTTTTTTGTATCCATCCTCCACCTTTGCAGCTACACATTGGTTAACTCTTCACTCTGCTTTGACTTTTTAAATTCCTTGTCCTACAACCAGGTGGCTGACCCTGAGTCAAACAGGTTTTGCCAAAACCTCTTATGCCTGCCTTCTTTAAAACTTTCTGAAGCAGGCCTTCCTATTCAGTTTTGTTATCTCGAGTAGCAGTAGTTGAAGCACTTTGTGAGATGTAGTATAATCGTGTCTCCAAATTAATAAGGTTCACTCAATGCACTATCCTGTATTTCATACAAAACAATATGGAAAATTTACCTTTGACGACTCCATTATTTGCCTTCTAAAATTCATTGGGATATTTAGCCTGTTTCATTTAAAAATACAGTATATAGAGGTTTCTTCTCATTCCAGGAGGCTGATGATGCTTTATTAAGGAACCTGGAGCTTCAGATTCAGTCCCAGTTTCTGCAGGATGATGTAAATGCCACTAAAGATAGGCACAAAAAGGTAGGATGTCAATGATAATTAAATTGTGTGCCATTTACTTATGTAAAATGTAATTTTCCATTAAGGAATGAATTATTTCAATAACTGCTTAAGTATTCTAGAGAGAGAATTCAACTGTAATTTCATATCAATTAACATGATGTGCTATCAAACTAGTGGTGATTTGTTATTATTATCATGTTTTGTGCTAATAAATCTTAAACCCTTCCTGAATGCTTAATTCATAATATAAGGCTTACAAATTATTTATATAAATTACTAAGAATTATGCTGCTTTCTTTTGCACTTTACTCATATTCAGTTTGGTAGGACTAGTACAAATGCTGGAATTGTGAGAATATATTTTTGACACCTACATTTAAGTGGCTGATCTGCTCTTTTTAACACATTGTATTTTAATAGTTTACAAGATGCACATGGTATATCACAATTAAGGAATTTGCTCTTCTATTAATTGTCTGCAAACACATGTTCTCTATTTAAGGTTTAATATGAAAGAATCAACTGTATGGAGCTTGCTCTATCCACTCATTACTTTAATATTGTTTCCTTTCATAAAATTAACAATTTATATACAGTATATATATTAAATGAGCTGAAATATAAAAAAGGGAACACTCAGTTAAAAGTCTACTGTTAAATCTTTGACAGTCTTGCTGAAATGGAATTTAGACAGAAAATAACTAAATAAATGTAATGTTATACTACTTTGGCTAACATTACACTGAGCAGAAATTAAGACATTTAGATTTGTTTCACATACAATAAGATACCGGCACCTACAGTGACCTTGTCTCAACAGTCCAATATAGAAGACATGAGAGAAGAATTCATCATGGAGTATATAAATGTGTAATTTTTTGTGTCGGCTTGGCCTTACAGAACCTTGAAGAAATTCAAACATATGTCAACATCCTTCATCAAATCATCCAAACTACCCCTCGTGTGCCAAGTGTGTCAGTTGGAACCTCTGAGGTAAAAATAAATCTTTCCTTTTTCAATAAAACAACGTCATTACATTGGTGTGGTGATTCAGTAGATTAATGTTAGGTGTCAGACAAAGTAAACTATAAAAATTATTTTTAATGTACCACTCTCAACACAGCACACCCCTAATATTGCACCAATGTTTATTCTCCTTGTACAGCATTTTGTTTGCCATATATACTATTTTGTCTCTTACAAATAGTCTCCCTATACAGCATTGTGGTTTTCCTATACAGCTTTTATTTTCTACATTGCAAGTTTTATACTCCCTGCATACAGTAGCATACACTTAATAGTACCAACATATGTTTATCCCTATACAGCAGTTTAATGTTCTTATTCAGAGTGTTGGTCTGCCTACAGTATATAGTGCAGGTGGTGTTGGATTTTTGACCATTTCTGTTTCCTTGGCACGGCAGCAGCAGGAGAAGCTATTGGCACAGAGAAGAGTGCCTGCTTTGCATAGCCAGTTAGAAGAGTACAAGAGTGCCCTCTACCAGCTACAGGCCCAAAAACAGAGGCTGCAGGCTGAGGTATGTAACCATGGCAACTGAGTACAGCATTCTCCTCTGGCCATTTTCTTTTCAGTGATTTTCATTATACACGGTGCAGTTCTGCTCCTGTGAGCAAACCAAATGTACATTGGCTGTATACAGTATATGTAGGTTAAACTAAGTGACTAAAGTGTAGTTTTTCACCTGCAGAGCTTTGTGTTTTGGGATTTGGATAGACCTATCACAGTGTTAATACGTTTTAATAAAGAAAAGTTGACTGACTGGACCAGGCCTTTTACAGGACAGCTGGGATAATTTATGTGCACCCAACAATGTTAACGTAGAATACAAAAAGAGGATAGAACTTATCGTACTGTAAATGTTGTGAGTTGTGTAGCATCGATGGAAAAAAAAAACAAATAAATACTTCCATAGTTAATGTGGAAAACATATACATTCAACTGCAGTTGTTTAGGTTGCAAACTATAAAGAAGAATTATAAATATCTGAACAATGATCTTCCTGAATAGTATTGTGTTCCAGAAGCCACTATTGGTCAACTGATTTTTGGGAGGTGAAACTAATGCTTAGATCATATGAAATTGTAAGCATGTAGTAGAAAAAAAACAGAAGGGTTCGTAGAGTAAGAAACCCCACGGTACAATGGTCTTCATAATAGGGGTTTGTGAATAAGAGTTTATTACAAATTCCACAGGCAGCAGCAGGCTGGAACAGTGGTTAAGGCCTTAGATGCCAGACTTGTCTGCTCAAATCCCTAATGGAAATGTGATACTTATTATTAACCGAGATACAGTACATTACTCAGAAATGCTCCAGTATAATACTATACTTAGTATAATGGCTCTCCATGTTGACACTCTAGAATACAGCAATTTTTTTTTGTAGAATAAAGGATTTAAAAAAACATACCAAATTGATATGGAGAACCTTACAGCAACTCTGTATCACACTGCAGAATTATAAAGTGCAAATCTGTGTGCTTTATTTGCAATTTGTTTTCTTTCTGCAGGTGTTTTCAGAAGATACACCACTGCTATCTGGCAAAATGTTATTTTTCACTATTTTACTTCTTTGCAGCTTGTACATTATGACCTTATATTTTTGTATTTATGTCCGGTAAACAAAAAAGATCCAGCTCTCTGTCAGCTGGAAAGTGAATTTTAGAGTATTTAAAATGAATAACATGAAGTTACTGCAGCATAGCGTAAAAATAACCTGATGGTAACCTGTAGAAAAAGCTCAATTTTATACAGTTCAAGATGGAAAAAATACAAGTAGACCACATTCTGTATTTTCTGTATGTAACAAGACCATTTGATCATTTTATCGTCTAATGTGTTTTACTTAGTCTGTTAAGCATGGGTATTCGCAGAACTGCTTCATTTACAATTTGGAATATTTTTTAGCCTTTGTGTTAACACCATCCAGTGGTGGACAGATAGAATTACATATTGTGATAAGTATTTTGACCTTCAGAATCTGTAACTACTGTACCATGCTTCGGTTCCAGCAGAAGATAATAAAGCCCAGCTATAGCCTTTAAGAAGTACTTACTCATATGCGTATGATTTAAAATTAATTAGGAAAAACAGTTCTAATTTCCAGCCAGAAATGTTTACTTAAGAATTTTAATCAAATTTAAACTGCAGAGACAAATCTGAAATTATTTCGACAAGCAACTGGCCTCAATGGTATACAGTACATACAGTACAACATGCTGGGGTTTGATAATTACAGTTTGGCATGAGTTCCACTTAATAGAACATACAACTGTTTTGTGTAGGAGACTATAAGTTACATGCCAAATTTATTAGGATTATCGAGGTTACACTTTACACTTTAGTATTTTCAATACTCACAATGAACAGACGCACTATTGCTTTGACATTAGAAGCATTTTTTATTTACAGTATGGGCTCAATCATTAATTATCTCTATAGGTCACAAATTAAGTTACCTTAATGTACCATGTCACTCTTTTCTGGAATGATTCCAGAACAGCAATATGTGGTGATAAAAATTGTACACAGTTTTTTTTTTTAATGAGGCCTTACTAGTGGTATTGTACAGTTTTAATATAAAATGCCTTGTTTTAAAATTCTGTGTTTTTAACTATGCTATATATAGTATTTTTTTACCTTTTTTCTTTCCCAGATTGTCTAGAAGATTAAACTAATGACTCAACATAAACGCTTTAGTCTTTATCATATGTACACTTGCTACAATCTAATACTTAGTGTACATAAAATCTCATTTTATATTATTGATATTTTCATACATGTAATCCATATACTACATGCATATATACAATACAGTATATACTGCCACATATTCATCCAGTCTTCTCCCTTGATCTTTTTGAATTTCCTTTTCTTATTCTCAAGTGTTTGCTAATCTTCCTATTTGATGATAAAATCTGTGAATTTAACTAGTTTTCTAACTATGCCAGGATCTAGTTCATTGATATAGTTTAGAAGCAGCAGTAGTCCCAAATGATCTTTTTCGGGGAAAAGTGTCAAATTGCCATATCATACACATGCTTTCTTTGTATCCATTAATGCTGTCGCTTATTCAAAGACATCTGACAGCTTAGTTAAGCAAGTCCTGCCATCATTAAATCAGTTCTTACTGACCACTAGAATCCTATTTCCATAGAGATTATTTTCTTGCTTAGTTCTGAAAGCCAATCAAAAACTACACGCATGACTTAATTCTGCATATCAGAAGAAGGCATGACTTTAACACTGAACAGATGTCACTGGAAAGGTTCTTAATTTACATTAGTTGGAATATGTCTTTCATAATTCTCTGTTTCACAGTTATTGGCTCCTACAACATTTAATTTACACATTAATGGTTTGTTCAAAATTTGCAACTTTTGTGCCAAAAGGTTGAAACTGGCCGTGGCAGATTTAAATGAAAAGGGCATTATTGAATATACGCTGAGCAAACAAACAAGTTAATCTGTGCTGTTTTTCAGACGTCAGTGTTGGAGCAGGCCATTAAGAGCACCCAGGAGAGTTACGATGATGAGATCCAGTTGTACAATGAGCAGATTGAAGCCCTCCGCAAGGAGATAGAGGAGAATGAGAGGACCTTGGAAAAATACACAAACGAGTGTCGCCATTTGGCCATGTACCAGACTTCATTGGAGAATGAGCTGGATAGATACAGGAGAATCATTGAAAACGAAGACAACAGGTACAGTACATTATCACAAAAGTACTATTATTTCGTGCTTTGGCACCGAAGTGGCACTTAATCATTCCGTGGCATTACTCTTTGGAATCTGTGTTTCAGTACAAATTATTTCTGGTATGTGTTGAGGTTGAGCTCTGGGAAACAAAAGTGTGGTGTAACCACGCTCGAACAGTTCTGTCTGGGATGTGCTGCACAGTGCTGCGCCACAAGGTGGCATTGATTCTCTGCGTTGCTCAGCACCCTTGGCTGAGACAAAGCATGCAAAGCAAAAGACGCACCCAAAATAAGTCAGGGCAGTTTATATTGTTTTATTTTGCAGTCGTATTAATACTTATTAGTCATTAATTTAGGAATGTGACGTTAATGTGGTGCTTACAGATAAAACACAAAAAATTACTAACAGAATGGGCACCCGATTAAATAATGGGACCCTTAATACACCTAATAATGGGTTTAATTTGAGCTATTTTCTTGTTTTTGGTTCCTAAACAAATAGGACGTTGCCTCTTAACTATTGTTTCTTAAGCCACTTAAAATCTTCAACCCTTGAGCAAAAAAATAAAAACTTGCAAAGCTCCTAAATCACTAACTTGCTGATTTAATTGAGGATTTATTTAAAGAAAGACCTTGTGTGCTAAAAAAAAAACAGAATGTGTTTGGATCAGCAGACCCATGACTGAGAACCTCTGGCCTATTGTACAAAATACTTGAAAAAAACTCTTGTATTTTCTCCCTGACAGATTAAATTCAGCTATAATTGGCACACCTGTTACCTTATTCACTACCAGTTACCGATGTACCCATACCCCCGCTGTCACCAGAAGAGGAAAAGGTAAGAATGGGCTTCCATGCATTGTACAGTACTTGACTTGAATGAATTGTGTGGGTTAGGCACACAGTTACCACCGATCCAAATTTTCAGTGACTTGTTAGTAACAGCTGTGGGTCGAAACCCAGCCTGAGGCTGTTAATAAGTTTAATACATTTCATACATCTGTATCTGTATCAAATTAAGTTAGGTGAGAATGTACAGTATGTATCGTCAAACTTTATAAACGTTATCAAAGCCGTCCTCCATTTCTTTATGAAGAAAAGCGTTCTTTATGAAGGTCAGACCTTCAGATCAAATTGCTGTAGAAAATGCACGTGCAACAGAACAACTGCACATTCAGACTGTAAATGAAGCTTGCATTTTGGGATCTTGCAGGACTTTCACCCAGTGTACTGTAAATTAATATGCAGATGTTCTTACATAGATGTTCTGAATTTTAAAATGCAATTTACCTCTTGGTGTGGAAATTTCCAAATCTAATATTTGAGTTTGAATTGCAAATGGCAGAAAAAAATCTATTTGTGATATCGTTTTTCATGCTATTGATTAGTATTTGGGTTACGTACTATATGGTACAAAGTACACGATTTTAGTTATTTTGTTTACTCTGTTAGATATCACTCAGGCTATGCAAGACATCACAAGTGCTAAACCCAGACAGAAGAGCCTTGCCAAAAAAGCACTGAAGAAAAAGGAAATCACCACGAAAGATGTGACAGACAGCACCACAGAAGACAAGGCAGAAGACCCCAGAGAGGAGGAGGTGGAAGAGGGTGAGGAGGAGGTGAGAAAGGATGAGCAGCCCCTTACATATCAGGATGTATCTCCTGAAGACGTCCCAGATGGTGCCCAAATAAGTAAAGCGTTTGACACGCTGTGCAACATTGTGAGGGAGCGGATGAGGAAACACAAGAAACCTGAGCCAATCGCGGACTTCTACACCAAGGGGCGCTATGTGCTGGTGAGTGGTGAGGCAAGCTATGTGGACCCCTTCTTCTGCTCCTCATCTCCTTCTGCTGGCCATGTGATTGTCACCATCAGGGATGACGTGATGCCCCCGGATGATCTGTATAGGGGTGGGGGTGATGGCTCACCCACTACACCTTCTCTGCCAATGCCACTTAAAAACGGAGAGGGTGGGGGAGACCGGGGCAAAGAAGGAGAGGACATGGGCAAAGCAAAGAGCAAACAGGGTAATAACGGTGAGATGGGAGGCAATGGAGAACAGCCCCAACCAGCAGGCGGAAAAGACACAACACCAGTGGAGCCCAGTCCATCAGCAGGGCCCTACCCAGAACCCAGCATGCCCCCTAGAGATCCCTGCTCTCCTGGAATTGGCCCCAAGAGGAACAAAGACAAAAACATGGAAGACACCTGCCGAAGAGGCTCCGCGCCTATGCCAGCCCCCAGAACCAATCTTCCAGCTGATTCCATGAGCTACGAGAAGGTGGAGGTGGTGGAGTCTGTGGAAAAGTTCACAGATGATGACAGAGTCCAGGAGTACGAGGAAACGTCCATGATTGTGGAAACCATGATCGAAAAGACCAGCAAGAAGAAACACGGTGACAAAGGCTCTTAGTGCCCCAGCTAGTTTTGTGCAAGCGGTGATTAGCTGAGAATTATGATGCTGTTGAAATTTACATTGAAGCATTTAGCCTTTAATGTCTGAAAACCTGGGAAAGAAAAAAAAAACAAACAAAAAGATGTGTGTTCCCAATAAGAAATGCTGCCCCAAGGATGCCATAAATTGAAAGAGTGAGATGACCATCTACAACGTAATAAATTTTTAGCATAATTGGTAACAACAATTTTTGCTGTGGAAGAAATACTTCAATAAAAAATGCTCCTTTCAAAAATACTGCTTTCTGTTTGACTCTCTCTTCCTTCTTTCATTTAAACTATATTTTGTTTGTAATTATACCTGTGACGATAATTATAAAGTCTGCATGCTAAAACAAATACTTCTGTTTATTGATCTTAGTTTTGCAGCCTTAAATCTTATATTACACCGTAACATTTTGATTTGATTTAAGGTCATTTGCTTCTTCTGGTAAATAGAAACTTCTTGATTCATCAACAAAATTGTACGGCACAGCTCTGCAATTTAAAGTTCTGTCTTGGAATATATTGAAGACACTGTAACATTTTTAATCTTATTAAATAAAAAAACGGCAGATATTTTTTACGAGCATAAAAAAAAAACAAATCTTAAAAAATTCCACCAATTTTATACTGGCAGCTGGGAGCACTGTGCAGTACATTTCTGTTTAAACATACATTTCACAGTAAAAATAACCCCTTGGCTACTTGTAAATGCTGTTCTGGTAATCACATGATTGGCATTAAGCAGCACAGTTTGTTTTGATTGCAGGGAACTGTAGTGTGTTCATTCTGCCCTTCATTATATTGATGAATACTGTGTCTCAAGTGTTCAGTTCTAAGAAAGTTACAGGAATACGTTTTTATGATAATGCAGAAATAATTCATATTGTTTCAGTTTCACTTTGTTATGATGCTGGAATAAAGCAATTTATTGATAAGATAAAACTTTACCTTCATAAGAAAGGCTACAGTAACAGGTTTACTTCATTCTTCCTTGAATGCGGCAGTAATGTTACTACAGTTTATTCTACATGTTTTGTTCAGACATTGCACCTTAACAAGACTTAGTTAAATAAGACTACAGTACACGCCATAGGTATATCCATTGTTTGAGTCTCTAGACAAGGGGTTGGGCACAGAATTAAAGAACAGGCTCACATATATAATTGCTATGCAGGAACACTTATAAGTTAATATAATGAATATCATACCAATGGCTAAACAAAGGACTGAAATGACATTAAACACCTAAATATATTTTGTTTGGAGCTTTAACCTTTAGATTGTTTTTATTTTTTTAAAAAGGGTAAAGTCACACTAAGAACTAGTTTACGCACGTTCCAAAAATAAAAAGAATAGGTTTTTTTGTTTATTTGTTGTATGTTTACTATTTAACTATGCAAGTATCTTGTTTAAAATATTAAAACAAGATATGAGTATCGGCATGCACCACAACAATTATGTTAAGTGTTGAACGTCATTTGAAAACAATAGCTGAAATTGTTCACTGATTAGTAAACTGACTGCTTCACTTTTTTGATGACTGCTTTACAATCTTTTTTATGGCCTATAAAAATCCATACCAAGGCAATCCAAAACTAGTTACCAGGTCATTTTGTAATTAATACTAAATTTATTAATCATACAAATTGCAGGAGTTTTCTCTTCTTTCTCTTCTTGATCACAATTAATTAGATATCAACTAATATCTAATCTAGGGGGGTTGAGTAGCCTATCTTCCGGGCTAGGATCCATTCCTCCACATACAGTAGGCAAGTCACACCGAATTCTCTATAAACTTTTCTACACTCAATCGCATTCTTTAGGATCTAACTGAAATAGTGAATTGACAATAATCAAAGCAGAACTGAAAAGTAATTGTTGATCTGCGCAGTGTGCAGAGAGTCATTGTCTCTGACTTACTGAATTCTTTGTTTCGAACTTTTTAAGTCATGCTATGATTTGTATTCTGATTTACGAGGTATACCTATGGAACACTTTGTGTTTTAATTTTATGATTTCTAAGATGAAGCGTGTACAATCTATTACTTTAGAAGTGAAAAAGAGAAGATTATTTTTCAGAAAGTAATGTCTTTACACAGATTATGTTTTAATTATTCCAGTGTCTCTGCAAACAGTTTATCAAATTTATTCTTTTCTGCTAGGAAGGTTAGGAAATACGTTTGAAAACGACAAGCTGCAAAATTGATCACACATTTCTTTCCATTTTTATATAAACAATATTTATCACAAAAATATAACGGAAAAAAAATGTCACTGCTCTGTTTGCAAGATATTAAACTTTAAGTAGAATGACACAGAAAATCATTTACAGTCACAAACTGTACAGAGGTCTTAGTGGAGCAACAACATAACAGAGAGCTGTATACTGTATAGTGTAAAGTAAAAATAAACAGAACCAAGAGAAAAGTATTTTTTTCTTTTATCTGACCATAGGTTTTTGGAAATTACAATTTGTATTAATCTGGTTACAAGAAACATTCATTAAATAAGGGCTAATAAACACATAAAGGATATCAGAAATTGGGTATACACTGGTGTGGGAACTTAGGAAAGAGAAGACTGACATGCAGAGGACAGGAGGGCTAGTTTTTGCTCAGCAAACTCTTCAGACTTCTCTCCACAGCCTCATCTAGTTCCTCCTCCAGCTCCTCCTTTTTGGACATGGCCAGTTTGGACTGGTAATCTCTCACAATTTGGTCTATATAAGGAGCACTTTGTGTCCCATGAAGCATCAGAGTCCATTCCTTAAGCACGCCCTTCTGTGGGACAGCTCCTGTGAAACCGACCTCCAGCACCCAGGTCCCCCTGGGGTCCTCTCCCCACGTGTGCGTCGTCATGAAAGGCCACTTGTCGAAGCCCACCTTGGAGTCGTCATCCCGGGGGCGCCTGCTCAGCAGGATGGACTTGGTGCCCATGGGTGAGGTCATGTTGATGTTCAGATCCCCCCTTCGGGAGGAGTTGACCGTGATCACTGCCTGGACATGCTCCAGGTAGCGGACGAAGTTGTCCTTCCCCTCACAGGCGTCAGTGGTAATGGTTAGCATCAGCTTGCCATCAGAAGGAATTTTGCTGTGGTAGCACAAAAAGGTGAGTTTTATGCTGTGGTTGAAACCTTTTTAGACTGCTTCATCATTAAACCATCATTGCAATGTTGTGATAGTGCTCCGCAGAGTGACATAGTTAACTCAGAGCTAAGTAACACTTCACATTCCTACAAAATATGTTGTATACAGTATATCAATAAATATATTGTAATAAGTGTTTCTAAGGCTGCGATTCCTCAAAAGTGACAAGGTTATCAACTCAACTTGAAGTAATGGATAATAAAAAGTTATACAAAAATTATAAAAAAGTATTGCTTTACTGATTATATATATTATAAATACAGTATGACTGGGTTAACGTTTTTGAGAGAAACAGAACTGTCTTTATATTGTATGCAGGCTCACTGAATGTAAGAAATATCCATGGAAACCTGCAATACAGAGAACTGCACCAGAAAATGAAAATGATTCTCATCTGTTTCTCATACACACTTCATTATTACTACCTACCCAATGCTTCAAGTGTAATTGTTTTGAAGAGTGCTGGAATACAATTGAGAGCCAAGTGACAGAATCGTATACATGTTTCACTGGCAGACCACCAGGCTAGCTGGAACTATGGAAACTGCCCTTAAGCAAAATAAACATTTGGCACCTGACACAAAATGTTGTTAATTACCACATTTGGGGCAGACTGTCTTTATTTGAATTTAAAATAAAAATGAATTTTTAAAAATAAATTCTGCTCAAACATAGAAAAATGAACACTGTCTGCAAAAGTCAACATCATCGACAGAAAAAAAAGTGTTTTTGAAATCAGACCACTCTGTAGTTATTTTTGGCATGAACAGCTATACGTAGTTTTGGGAGTTGATCAAACATTGGACTTGTCTCTATGAATAACTGTACTTTTTGTATGACCTCTGAGAATTGAAAATCTGGATGTTAAATGTTATTTGTATTAATATTGTCATTTAAAAGCTTTTTCTTTTATCTTCAATTGAAAGAAAATCAAATACTGCAACTCCCGTGGGCATTGTGGTTGAAAAATTACTTTGCCAAAGTGACTCCAAAAGGAAATACCTGAGTGTGCTTACAGTACATTTGTAGATGGGAGGTTATTCTGTTGCATCAGAACACAAACAGGTATTTTATCTAAAAGTAATATTTACTTGAGTATGGTGTAAGGGTAAAAATAGGTAAGAATCATTTGGGACTCTCTGGGAATATAAGTGGATTTTTAACAGGATTTTTAACAATCTTATGAGCCTTCAATGATACACATACTGTATAGACAGCATCAAATAACTTCAGTTCAGAGTGGAGAAGGTCTGAAAAAAAAGGTCTGAAAGTACTTTTGCAAGCATGAGATATTCTGCTGAAATGTTCTAAGGCATTAGGGTCACCACGTAAGAATATCCACTTCTCAGCAATACAAGAAAATAATGGTATTGCAAAGAACTGGCCTAAATTGCCTCCATTATTACTTATCTCAGTGCAAAGTCACTGATATCCTCCGTTGGAAAATGAAATTATAGACATCTTCAAACTGTCCTCTCTGAAGAAATTGCAGGGCTGATGCTTTACCTACACTTTTATAATTCAGTGTGAAGCAACAGACACAAAAAGCCACTCGTTAAATGCCATGTATATATACAGTACAGTATTTTACTCTCCTTTGTTATTTTGTCTTCCCCAAAGATCTCAAGGTATATCATAAATAGGGGGAAAATAACAACATGCTGTCACGCCCCGCACTCTCCCTCTCAATCGCTATAACATTCCCAAACCCACTGTTTCACGATCTCATTTCTGACTGATCCCATCACATTCTCACGTGCACCAGATTCCATAAATTCTCACTCCTGGACCAATTATCCAACCATGTCCCTTTCCCTTCAGTATTTAAAGTTCCCTCACGCACCAACCCATGCTCACTATTAATAAGCCTCCCGTAGTATTCTCTTGTGCGTGTTTCAACCTTTTCGACTCATCTCCCGGTTTCTAATCTTTGCTCCTGCCTTTTTCGACCACGCTCTTCGGGTTTCGTTTTTCGGATTGTCTTTCTCGGATTTCCCTGGTTGCTGGACCCATTGCCTCTCCAATCAACCAAGCCCCCGAATTACGTGTTTTGGATTGTCCTTGTGCTACTCCACATTCTGCAGGATTCACGGTTACGCATAAGGATCCTCCTATTCTACCTATCGGTTCCCTGACACATGCAGTACGTTCCTGAGCCACTTGCCAGGACTCTTCATGGGGTGCTCAGATAAAGCAGGGATTATATACCATAGAAACAGTTCTTGATCTCTACCTTTCTTCCAAACTAAGCCCTTTAATTTTCCTGGCTTAAGTTTCAACATAGTCTATGCAATACTTTCTTCCAGATCTTATTGCATGGATCTTCACTTACAGTAGGTACTGACTTTGCTACCATATTGATGTTGTTCACAAAGTAAAAATCTTGGTGTTGTAGCTCAAGGCTTCTTAGCTGACTTTACTATAAGATGATACGTTACTGCTGTGAATAGAATAACATATATTTTATCAAATGTCACATCTAATCCTTGTTTCTGCCATGAGGTGGTATAATCTTATAGTGAAATGCATCCTGAAACTGTCAAATTAAGACTGCAAAATCCTTTGCCATTTTAGTGATACACAGTACTGCATTTCTTTAAGGATTTGGCAACACACTTGTGCAGAATCACACCATGTGCATTCACAAGGTCTAACCTTAAAATTTTCATTTCTGCTTCAGGGAGTGAAATAGTCCAGAATTGTTCTATGGTTTTAGACATAAAACCCTTTAATGTCAGCGATTCATGTGCTGTGTGTTCTTAAGTGCCACACTATGCTCAACAGTATAATTTTTATAAGCTTCACTTGGTCAATTTCTACTTTTAGAAAAAAACATTTCTGGTTCTGATTTGTTAAAGTATGTCTGAGATTCTCCTATGGAAATTTAGGCAATTCTATCAGATCTTAGTTCCTCATAGGATCACTGTGAAAGTCTTCAAGGTAGTTGTGACTACACTTTCTCCTCCTCAGAGAGTTCCAATGTACCTTCAATTTACCAGAGCTCTTATGACAGAATGTTTATCTATTTTTTATCAATGCGAATTCCCACTATCCTCACTCTCCGTTCAGTGGTAACCACCTCTGAGTTTTGTGCCAAAGGACCCCAGTGGTGAAATATGTAAAAATGTAAATACAAAGTAATTCTGCTCCATCATCAGCTGCATTCCATGTCTCCACCTTCCCATCACCATGAATCCCAGCAGGAAAATGCTCCATATAGATAATGTTAAGAAAGATCAGGATCCCATGTGCCAGGGGTTTCTAATGAAGCACTAACAGCTTAATTGGCCTCAGTGAAGCCACTTAGATGCATTTCCGTGAGAGTCCAAAATTGGAGACATCATTTAACAGATATTGAACACAGAAGATGACCTGTCTCCAAAACCTACAGAAGGTATAGTCGAACACCCAAAACATGACTTGCTGAGCAGTTTCTTGCTGACTTTGCTGAGTCTGCTGTAAATGAACTCTCTTCTTCAAGCAACCCAGTTCCATTTGTCTGGGCCCTGTGCAGGGCTGACCTCTTTATTTTCTCCCCTATGTTATTTGTCCATTCTCTTAAACCTTGTGTCTCATTCTCTCTAGCACCTTGGTGTCTCTTTTTATGTACCGGAAATTAACTCTGATGCATCCCATTTCATGCAGTAATCTACGTTTTCTTAAGAATGTTCAGAATCCTCTGCCCTTCAATTTGAAAATTAAGGCCCATGCTATAGATTACAAGTGGAAAAAAGCTGTTGAAATCGATATGTTACCCATCATGAAGTAAGAAGCTTAACTGTATCTCAGATCCAGCAGATACTGCTAGTATCATTACCCTTTCTGAGATGTTTAGAAGCAATTTGTCACTAATCATAAGGAGAATACAATTGAATTGGGTGGCATCAGAAATGGAAACACTTACTGTGGTTATAAATCAGTAGACAAGATAATGAGAACTGTTGACCCAAGGCTAGAGTAAGCCTACACTGTCTTCATTAGATTTACGACTTTAATATTTCTCTTGTAGGGGTCAGGTCCCTATTAATATGCATGTCCTTGTGCTCTTACCCAGAGGGATCTGAGTTTTGACTGACAAATTAAAATGCCTACACAAAGAACAAAAAAATGCTGCCCTGGATGGCTAAGACTTTGGGCACTGAATTGAAAACATGTATAAACTCAGACTAAAGAAGTGAGCAGAAAAGATTGTCGATGACTACTTTCATCACGGACACCATCTGTTTAAAAAATTTGCTTGAGGGGGGAGACACTACAGGTCCATCAAAACGCAAACCGCCTGGCACCTGAACTGCTTCTCGGCTATGTCTGTCACCCTGCTTTACGGGAATATGTGAATACGTGATGCAGTGTGTACTGTATATGATTATAGAACTGTGAATGTTCTTTGTGGGAAGTGTACAGTATATGTATTGCTGAAGATTTCTATCACCCTTCTTGTACACGTAATGAATCTGACAAAGCAATTCTGATTCTGAAAGGAAGAGCTATAAAATGATGTTGGTTTTTGCTGTAAGACTTAAATTTTGTTTTAAGGCATTTTCAATTATTGTACATTTAGAAAAAATATCAAAGCAAAACAATAATGTACTCTGGTCACACACTGTGTTGTTATCACTCACTGAAAAGTTGAAACTCAGCACATTTAACGTGAACACAGAATTACAGTATCCAAATGATTAATAGCCAGTAACCATTAACCTGAATTATCAGGCAAATTGAAATAAAAGTTGTAGTAATTACAGTAGCTTCCAGAAAATGCAAGCTTATGGAAGCTTCTATTGTCACAGATTAATCTTATATCATGTTAACTAATCTTGACCACTAGCTTTCTCTAGTACTGTTGATACTTATTTCCTTAACTAATGTAAACAAGCAATTAACTCAGATAAATATCATTCATTTTATTTCTGTTTTATTCACCCTTTAACACTTTAATGAAAGTCAGTTTCATTGAGGGTGAATTACTCTTTACACAAAAAGCAACTAGCTTCAACATTTATCATTTTGATTTTTGCTTGTTCATTTCATAATAGTTACAATAAGAGCCTCCATCTATTATTTTGAATTAAAATGATATTGTTTCAATAAAAATAAATTTACGGGGCAAAGAGAGACCTGGTGCCAGCCAATTAATTTTTTTAACAATGTAGCTGAACAGTTTCTGACAGTTGCTTTTACTGCACAGAAATTGCTTTTCACACCGAGCCTTGACCTCACAGAGATTTTGGTGCTGTTACCACACGGCAGGATTGTACAGGATTGGGCAGGAGTAGAGTTATGCTATATTATATATATATATTTTAATGGCTACACTTTTGGTGACACAACAGAACTGATAAAAACCATCTGAAATTTTCCTGTAGCTCTAGTATGTTCCAACATATTGTATGCTGTTGTTTTATATTCAAACAAAAATGGTAGACTAGGAATGGAAAAGTACTACTTGGCTGAGGAAAATAAAGCTGAATATTTGTAAGGGGACCAGCCTAATCCTAGTCACGTATTTAGCAGAAATACAAGGAACTTTGTTTTGACCTTTGTTCTTCCTTTCTTAGATAGATAACCTTTGTATTTGCTAAACCCACTGAATTTGTCAATTGCATTTTAATTTAGATTTAAGAAGGAGGAATCTGGATGATTTCACAGCAGGTGTAATTTTTTGGTAGACATTACAGTGGATCTGAATCAAAAGAGATCCAGGTGTATTATGTGTGGCACAGAAATAATGTCTCAGTATTCTATTTCTATATTTGCCTGATGATATGTAAAATGCTTCCTAAGGGAAAGCACTGAGCTACAGTAGCTGGGTATATGCAAATACCCAAAAAGAAATTTCAGTAAGGCTGATTAATTAGCATTCCAACATGACTGGCTCTCATTAATTGTAATCTTAACCCGTTGCTTTGGCAGTGACTTGTACAAAAATAAAGTAGGCAAAAAAAATAAAGAACTGCAGTTTAACTGTCAGTGTATTTTCACACTGCCGGCTGGATATTTTTCCCCACCTTATTTAATCTAATTGACAGTGTTGCTATGGTACAATACACTCTCCAGTGAGAGGACTAATTATAGAATATCTCTGAATTGACTACACATGGGCTCATGGGCAACACAGAACACTCCAAGTGTCTGCATGAAGCCATTATTTAAAGAGGAAATGAAGAATGTAATAGAAATTGTGCTTCACTGGGTGTCCCTTCCACCAAATTATTTAATCAAATGTGAAAAAAAGCAATCCATCTCTATTTTGTTTTTGGAGACAGCAGTTCTAAAGAACAAAACCCTTGTTAAAATAGAAAATAAATGAATTAATAAATGGTGTGGTTTTACTGATTGCCAATTTCACAAAGAACATATTGATAGCAATCATTACCCTACAATTAACTGTTCTTCAGTAAATGCATTCCTCATGTCATCAAGTATCTACTAACTGCAGTAGGGTGAGATACAGCAAATAAACACATATTTCTGCTGTGTTTGTAGAATAACCCCTAAAAAGAGAAAGAGCTGATAACCAGACTGTAAAAGAGATGAAAAAATATTTGTGAGCCACTATTTAGAGTAAGAACATAGAGATTTTTCACACTTACTGTGTTTCCTGCACAGAGCCTCCAACGCAATGGAACCTCTCTGGGACAGTCTTCCAGTCTTTGGCCATTTTAACCATCCCCCCTGCATCCAGGACTCCATACCCAAAGAGGTGGTTGAACTCCAGCCCAACTCCATTCCTGCGCCACTGGTGGACCTCATCATGCAGTTGATTCCTTTTGGATGTCAGAACTGTAAGGTGCTGCATATCTCGCCAGGTAAGATTTGGGCTGGAAATGCCGACAAATGAAGAGAAAACATCATAATGAGATCATAAATAAAGTGCCCGTTTGAAAAATTCTTCCTTAATGCTTATCAGATTTAACTGATGGTGAGAGTGGTATTAGTTTATGCTAAGAGCACTATAAAAAATTATGTTTAAAAGGAAAAAAATATGGGTGTTTATAATAAACAGATGTAATTTACTATATGTAACAAAAGATATCTACAGTACACCCCTGAAAAGCCTTGTTCGAAGTCACTCTTCACTCAGTAATTTGGCCAATTCAATATGTACAGACATAACATATTGAAAGTTTTAAATGTATTAGAGGGTTATTAAGTGTAACTCGCCTGCCTGACTATGACCTCTGAGCTGGAAGGAATATTAGTACTGAGGTAACCGCTGACACAGTAATGGTGCAGGAACTGTTAGAGAGAAACCACTTACTGACCTGTAGGTGAACAGATGTAATGGCTGACTGAGAACAACAAATGGACTAATAAGAATAAGAGACTCGTAGGACCAATAGCAGAATCAGGTTTGAAATACTGAATGTAAGCAATCTGGCCTGCCTGGTCCTTTTGCTATGAGTGAATGAATGATTCCAGCAGCACTTCCAAAGAAGAGCAGGCAAGGTGATGGTGAATGTCGTTGAGGGTGATGTCCATGAGGATACTTAGGGGTCTAATCTTTCCTATGACTGAATGGATGAGGATGGGTTCAAATTGAAACCCCCATAAACACAGCAACTTTAGTGAAGGTTCTTGAGGCAAGTAAGGGCCTGATATACCCGAGAGAGCCCTTACTGGGAGGATGGGTGAAACTATGGAGAATAAAAGTTAAGTCCTGTCTCTGACCAAACCAAAAACACAGAGTGCAAATAATTTCACACTCTGGCAAGAGCAAGCACCGAGAGTGAGAGAGAGGTACAAAAATAACTTTTCAGGAGGTGGGATATTTTTTGATAGGCAAACTGAAGTGGGCCGGAATTGGAATTTGACCTCCTCCCCCACTTCCGTATAAAAACCCCTTTTCATTTGTAAAAAAAATAATAATTATAAAGTCACGCTACCATTGTTTATTTCTTCTTTAAAAATGCCTCAGATGATAGCATAGGAAAACATCTTTACGAAAAAGGGGCTGTGTGGGTTTTCAATTTATATTTCAAATAATATACGAAAATTGTATAAAATTGCTGCAGGGAAGGGCAATTGCATTAGCAGAATAAATGTGGCCTCTCTTGTTATTGTCAGAAGCAAAATAGCCATCTCCATAAATGTCTTTAGGATTCTGTCCTGCTGTTTGTGCTTTGAGATCTCAATGGTTTCACCTGTGAATCACTGGTTATTAGGATCTTTACAAAAGGTGAAGAGCATAAGGCAGTAAAAGGGTCTTGCAATCAACAATTGCTGTTTACCTACAGCAAGACCTGCACTCTCCAGGTCCTACCGTCCAGATCATTATTCCACACTAACCAAAAGAGATATACAAGAGGGGATTCTCATGATAGTCATTCTTTCCAAAATCACATCAACACTTCTCAAGGGTGCAAAACATCCACCGCAGCAATAGAAGAAAAAAATAAAGCAATATATGACTTTTGTACATATATGATAGCAAAGGTATTTTCTTACTAATGAAGAAAGATACAGCACCCAGAATGCCGAGTAGGATATTTGAAAACCAATCATTTGTATTGGTAAATGTATTAAATACACTAGCATTTCCATAAAGCAATACTTAAGAACTAAACTCAAAGAAAATATTCGAATTGGTTTGATTTGTATGTGAAAAGTGAAATGTTTATTTTTCAATAGCACTCAGGAAAAAGCATTTTCATAGAGGTGGCTGCACTTTGTTTACAGTGCTTTTTTGTATTTGTCATGTCTTCTGAGCTTTATGTTGCAAGCTATGCAAGAATACCAAGAATGAGTTCCAACTGCTGTAATACTGTATATAGAAAAACACAGTATATTGAAATTGCTGTTATTTAAGTGGCAGATATTACTCATTTACTGTAAACAAATATTTTATTCTAGTATTACATTGCCACTTTCTTCCTAAAAGGGTATATTTTTTATTGTGAATAATATTAGGTTTTTTAGATTTTTACATTTATTCTTAGGTTTATATTATTTAACTCTATTACTGGAGTGACTCTATTACTGGAGTGACTCACTGATATTTTCCGTGATTCATTTATAAAATATAACATGAAAACCTGCCACCCACAGATAGTACTGTAACTCTGGCACATTACAGCTCTTCCTATGGTAATGCAAGCAGGATATGTCTGCTGTTCATAAAAAATGTATGTGTACCCAAAGCGGTTTACTTTACACACAAGACAACAAGTATTTCTGCTCATTGTGAAGTATTAACACAGATGAAGAGTTGCACGCTGAACAACACATATAATGAATTGTTCTCTGGCATTCAAGATGAGACTAACTTATTATTGGGTTTAAAATGATTAACACTGTTTGCATCTTTGCTAGTGATCCATTGCAGCTAATCACAATTTTGCACATCAGAAATCCACTAAACCACTGGCAATGTCCATCTTTTTTAGAGATCAGAAAATACTAATAATGTCTTTTAGATTAGATTAGAAATCTACCTAGTTAAAAGGGGAGACTCCATGTTAAAACTGCTTTTTAATATCATTTCTTACACAGTGCGATGACGAATAATTCTGACCTAATGAATTGGTGTAATGTGTGCATTTTTAACAGCAGGCCTTAGGGTAAAGTGTTGTACGTAAACCCACAAGCAAATGCTGTAGTTTGGCCATAAATATTTAAGTAGAACTGTTCTTGTGCTATGGAAAATGTTGCACTGTGCTCATACTTAGCTTCCAAAGCCAAAGCAAATACTCCAGCAGCTTCTGGGGCAGCAGCCGATGTTCCAGAGTGACGCAGTGTACAGTTTCCATACAAATCAGTTGTGGCCTGTAACAACACCATGTCAAAACAGTTTAGCCCCAAAACTAGAGGCGTTCCCAGATTCCTCAGTTTGCATTCATGTCACCTGCTGATTTCACTGCATGTGATTGTCAACTGTAATATTAAAAAGTATGCAGTAACCATTGAAATAAAGAGAGTGTCTGACTGAAAGCAACATTTACTAATACCAGGGAATGGAGTAATTTTCATAATCATTGTGTTTGAACATCAGTGTACATACAGTATACACCATACATTATTTCAACTTATTTACACAATTAAACATTCTGCTTGTGTACCCCTCTATAAACTGTATTGTAAATATAAGCTGGGAAACATAACTTGAAAACTACTACTCCGGTTTAATGGACCTCAGGTCTGACAATAAAATCTGCTAAAAGGGAATTTTATCTGTAGGATCAGATATACAGAATTTTTCCCACACACATATTAAAATGCACAAATAATAAAACTACAAACAACATGTTTTTTACAACATACCTTTAAATAGGTCTAAAAGGGATGAACATCAATGTTGCCATATAGGTTAGGACAACTGGTATACTGGTAAGAGAATTTCCTACAATGTTTTTTTGCTAGTGCTTCATATAGTATGTTTAAGCATTTTTTTTTTAAAAAATACACTAAAATGCCAACAATGTGAAAACAATCCTTGTAAAATGCGTAAATAATAAAGTAAGGCAAAAAATCCACCCTAAAGGGGGAGATCAGTTGGTTACAATGGGTGTTGTTTATGTTTCATGTGCTTTAGTGAATTTTATAAGCATGTTTACAACATGAAATAAAGAACTTTGATATATATGATAAAAAAGATAAAAATAACAATTTTAATTAATTGTGTTGATTGCAATTATTAAAAAAAGATCCAAAAAGCTTATTTATAGTAGTATACTGTACTTATATTTTTTCTTGTATAAAAAACATCATTCATTATAACAGTCACCACTTCTCCTTTCCATTAAATGGAGGGCTTTCTGTACGTCAAAGTTGTAAAATGCACTAGTGAGACCTAATTTAGAATATTGTTTACGATATTGGTTACCATATTACAAAATACTGTACATACAGTATTGCTGCTCTGGAAACAAGATACAAATAAGAGTTACCAGATACATTCCTGGGTTCAAAGAAATGTCCAGGACTGACAGGTTAAAAGCTCTGACTCATTTTAATCTTGAACAGAGAAAACTATGAGGGGTCGTGATTGAAGTAGTTAGAACCCTCAACATATATTTCCAAGCTTTTTCCTTATGATTTAATATGAAATATTATAGGATTTTGTCTTATATCCTAATAGGGAACATGTCAAATGAAAACAAAATTAGCATAAAAGGACATATTTCTGAAAAGCTTTCGAGTCCCTTACATATGAAGGCTTTTGTTTTCTCTCTAGTAATAGTTTCTTTCATTTTCATTCTTTTCATTTTTAACTTTTTCAAATAAATTGTCTACACCTCATTTTTATACGCAAATGTTAATGGTTTTACCTGTAGATTGTTTGAAATAACAGTTGTGCGAGTCAGTTTTTGGATGAACACTTTTGAAATGAGAGAATAGATATGTAGGGCTGTCTAAAACTAGAACCATCAGGAAAACACATTCAAGACACAAAATTAAAAACCACCATTGTATATATATGTAGACCAACTCTGCACAGAGAATGAAAGTTCTGCCTTTGTACTTGACCATTGTACCCACCATTGTTAAGTATATCACCAGTGCACAGCTGTGATACCATGATCCATTGTCAATTTTAAAACTGCCTGAAACAAAAGAAACATCTGCTGCCTTTTTTTAAAAGGAAAAAAAACACAATAATATCTACACCTACCACACCAGCTTCTGGATTTCTCTTCCTCCCATTGCTGAAAGTCGATGCTAAAGTTGAAGAGCAGCTTTCGTCGTAAAGGGCTGTACGCCCATCATTGATTGCCGAGTTGATGGAGATAGTCCACATGCTTGATGCATAGCCATCGCAGTTACAATCATCATAACTGCCTCCATCTCCCGAAGCCCAGACATAGATGCTTCCTTTTCCAGCTCTGCCCTGCGAGAGATAATGAATCTGTCAGGTTAAATTATTCACTTCTGTGCGAATGTATTGCTCATCTGTCAGGGTGCCCCAGGAAAGGTGAAATTTGTTTACAACCACATCTCTACCTAGCTTGAAGCAGACTTCCCCTTGATTGCTAACCTTGTTGGGCTAGATTGGTCATTAATCAGCAGATTTCATTGGCCACCTGTCTATAGGGCTACAAGAATTTGCACACTTTTTGATTACATTGGCCTTTTGAATCATTACATTGCTGAGGATTCATTCAACCTAATGCTGTTCTCATTTCTTAACAAGCATTCTGTTATTATCATTGAGGGCACCTGGAAAATTCAAATATGATTCTTACCTAATTATCAGAAAATCGGGTCAGAATTTCAATGGCATGTTTTTTGTTTATTTGTACTTGACCTGATATTTCAAGTTTAGGTTCAATTATTCTTTTGTTTTTATGAAGCCTACATTGAAACATGCAGTCATATCAAAATGTGATCATGAACGCTACAGCAATTGACTAGTGGAGATTTGCTTTGTTTTCTTTTCATGCCGTCTGATTATTGATACATTTTTATCCAAGCAAGAATTGTTATTCATCACAGACATTGAACTACAATTAAATGAAGACTTCAACCCACACACCAAATCATAAATTAGTACTTGGCTTTCAATTGGGTGGACATAAAAAACATCTGGCAAACAGAAAACTGCCATCAAGTGATACAATTGAAATCTGTGATTGTAGGGTGGATCAGAATTTGATTTAATCTCAACTGCATTCATTACTTCTAAACTAATAAGCATTCCAAATTATTTGCAAATATTACTGGCAATTGCAATCTGTTATTATGTATTTAAAAAGGAAATTAACCAGGGCTTCATTTTTGATTATGGAAAGATTACTCCTAGAAATGCTTGGGTGGAACATGGAAAGCTGGCATTGTGACTCTTTCCTTCAAACTAGTGAATAACATGAGGCTGTAAAAACTTTTTTATTGCAGCCTTTTTGTCTTCTTACACATCTTTATAATGGTTTTATGATTTGCATTTATCCAAGTGGGTTTCAATGCAAACCTACGAATGCCACAAACTACAACAAAAATTGCAACAAAATTATTTTTTATTTGAAATTTAATCAATAAAAGGATAGAACGTATTGTACAGTAAAGACCTCATTATGCCCCTGCAAGGTCTCTAATGTACTAATGTCAGAATTTTCTGGAAAAATATATTAGGTCTACCCAAAGAAAAAAAAAGTATTATCTACGCTGGGAACTATTCAGTATGATTTATTTGGAAATTACTTTTGAATAATGGACTAGAATGTTTGTTAAATTAAAATGAATAATATTATTCAGAGTGCATCATAGTGAAATGATAATGTTCAGGGTCAAGTGCTCTTGCTGCGTGCTCTGATAAATCCAAATATATCACAAGTGTAGTAATGTTCATATGTTGAATGTCAAAACAGATGATGATAAAATACGGTAGAATATTTGTAAGTTCATTTCAAGATTTGAAAGCTCTATAACATCATAGCCTGTGCAGTAAATGTGTCCTCTATAAATATCAGGTAGGAGGAACTGAACTAGCAATGTGTACAAGCACTCTTGGGCCTATGTTGACTCAACATTATCCTCTTCCTGACAATGAGGGGAAGAGATTAAAAAAAAAAACAACCAAATGCAAGGGTAAAAAGCAACAACATGCACTATCTTGGGGAAAGGTACCTTTAAAAAGTAATGCATTGCATTTGCATGTTATTGTTCTTGGCCTACTCTCATTTGTAACAGTATTTCAGTATTTCAATCAAACCCCAATTAAAGCAGAAACGAGATGTGAAAAGAGATGTTTAAAAAGATAATTGGTGAGATAATTAATAATTAATAACTGATGAGAATGACACCCCACCTTTAAGGATAACTTTTAAGACCCCTAACAGAAATAACAGAGAGCCCATAAATCCAATAAGGAATTTGTAAGCTGGGAAAACTAGAGGTAGAATATGACTCAAGGTGTGGTTAGCTGACTGAACACACCAGGGCGGTCTTTCCTATAAAGTAGGCTGGGAAAATGGTAGACAGTGCAATAGAAAAGACAATGCACATTGTGTAGTTTCAGTGGCTGAGGTGGTTTATGCACATTGAAGCGAGTGAAGGGAAGTAGTGAGAGTTGTCTTAATACAGCCAAGCCTGACAAGATTAGGATGAGCACACAAATTAAAATTAGAATCAAGGACGATTCCCTAGTGACTCAAAGAAGGGAAATTGCATGAAAACTCCAGGAAATCGGACATCCCAAAAAAATGGTTAATGGAGCTCTAGCACGGGGAAGAATAGATGAGGGAAACTCATCCGAGAAATAAAGGATGGATGGGAACATAAATGATGAAAGATCCTGCAGGGGGCTTCTGAAAATTTTGAAAAAGCTTTGGGCTAGTGTGTCAGTGAAAAACAACACAGGAGTAATAATTATCTATTAATAATCACGAGTAGCAATAGTAATGTTGGTTGTTGCAAGCTTAGTGTTTTCTCCTGCTGCTTTGACCAGGTATGACAAGGTCAATGATTACGGCGAATGAAGGAAATGCGGAATAAAGGAGTTGACCAGTTGATGATGAGGCATCTTTAACCAGAATGCTGTCCATGTGAGTTACTTTACATGCAGGGCTCTAAAGTGAGCAATGTGTCACAGATGTCGGAAGGGACAAACCGTGGAATGGCAGGAGAGCTTAAAAGACCCTATGTGTAGCGGCGAAACGGGGGTTAGCCCGGGCTCAGCTTTTCAGGAATTGCTGTATAGAAACCTGTGCCCTCAGGTAGAGGAAGTGGGGCGACCTGGTGCTAGGTGGGTTTCAGGATATCCGAACGTCAATGCTGAGCGAAGCAGAATAAATGACCCGGAAATATATAGCCCCAGAGAGAGAGACACCGGAAGGAGAGCAAAGCACAGGAAACTGGGGACAGGACAGAGGGCGTGACAGTACCCTCCCCCCCGCTTCATGGGCGGCTACTGACGCCCATACAAAATAAGTGAGCTGCACAGCACTGGGGGGAGGAAAAACCTCATTTAACTGAAAGGAAACCTCCGGGAGTCCACGGCTGAGAGCTGCCCCCTCCTCCAGGGTATAAACCTTTGTAGAGGAAGGGGGGTTCGGAAAGAGCTCTTGAGGCTAAAAACAAAAATAAGACAAGCACAAACCACAGCAAACATAAACCTTGGAGACCAGGGAAACAAACCACAAAAAACAGATAGGGACCAAAGGTTCCAAGACACATGGGACAGGGGGACCAGATAGAAGGGGAAACCAGGAAGTGAAAAAAATCAAAACACCAAGCAAAACACAAAAAATAAAAACAAAAAACCCAGGGAAAAATACCGCAGACTGGGCAATAGGCACATTCACACTCTAACACTGATATCGGAGTGGACAACCCGAGGAAAGCCAGAGCGTAGTCCGCTCACAGGCACGGATGTCCGGAGAGATATACAGCGAAAAGAATGGAGGAAAGGCAAAAAAGCTCACCAGACTAACGCTGATATCGGAGTGGACAACCCGAGGAAAGCCAGGCACAGGACCTGCTCACAGACACAGATGACTGGAGTGATATCCAGTAATTAGAAAGGGAGAGGAAAAAAGCTCAACATCCTATCACTGATATCGGAATGATCTACCCGAGGAAAGCCAGGCACAGGACCCGCTCACAGGCACGGAAGACCGGAGTGATATCCAGCGATAAGGATAGGAGAGCCAGCTCAACATTCAATCACGGATAATGGGAGAGACAACCCGAGGAGAGCCAGGTATTCAGGAGTGTATGTTGGAATAACACAGAATGACCCGCTCACAGACACAGAAGTCAGGAGTAGCATCTCGCGATTAGAATAGAAGAACTGAAAAAAAAAGGAAAAACCTCAGACAAAACAAAAGGTGCTACTCGCGGGGTCTAAAATGGCTAAGCATTCTGTCACGGATGTCGGAAGGGACAAACCGTGGAATTGCAGGAGAACGTTAAAGACCCTATGCGTAGCGGCAAGATGGGGGTTAGCCCGGGCTCAGCTGTTCAGGAATTGCTGTATAGAAACCTATGCCCTCAGGTAGCAGACGTGGGGCGACCTGGTGCTAGGCGGGTTTCAGGACATCCGAATGTCAATGCTGAGCGAAGCAGAATAAGTGACCCGGAAATACATAGCCCCAGAGAGAGAGACACCGGAAGGAGAGGAAAGCACAGGAAACTGGGGACAGGACAGAGTAGAAGTGCCCTCTAGCTGCAGAGGGCGTGACACAATGGCGGAATGAAAAAGGGGGGAGGGCAAAGCACTCATCAGCAACCAGGCTGCGTGGAACAGTGGAAGAGGGAGGTGTGATGATCCCATTGATACAGGTGGGCAATGGCTTTAAGCAGAGGTAGAGATGCAGAGCATGGACTGAGGTGAGGAATGGTTGGAGGTGACGTTAGGCAAGCCTAGGGCTGTGTGATGACCCGATTGATGGAGGTGGAAGGCAGCCTAGTCAGAAGCCAGGGACTAAATCTGGAACTTGCATTATAGGCGCACAATGGATCCATTGATTTAGGTTGGTGGTGGCCCAAGCTTAATATATGGGTACAGAGCTGAAGCCTAGCTGAGTAGATGCTGAAATGAAGCAGGTTTTTAAAGGGAAGCAGGGTGGTGAGAAGGAAGGTGTGAGCTTTTGGTAACACTGCACTGGATCCCTAACAGTTGTGGGCAGAGAAGGGAAAGGAACCCATTCATCCAGGTAACTAGCAAACAACAAGGTCTTAAAGTACTGCATTAAAGCAAAAAACACTTGTTCACTGAAATGAGCAACCTTTAGTGTCTGGCTTTTATAGGAAGGGGCTGAAACAGGAGGCAGGTTCAAAGAATGAACAGAAACAAGAAGGAGCTGGAGTGCCCTTAAGAGGATGGACTTACGATCGTGACACTAAGCTGGAGAAATAGTTTTCCAACAGTTTCCCTTTTTATGCCTTAAACTTCATTAGTCGGCAACTTATTTACTGCACTAGGAAAGACAACACCAAAGATTAATGTGGCATGAAAGGATTCTAGAGTGAAATTTTGGCTTAACCCGCTTGGCTGATGGCTGACCTCCCAGCCTTAGGACAGGACCCCCATGCGGGGTGGAGATGGGGGTGGATGTTGGATTGTCTCTTGCAAGAGAGAGAGAGATAGGGATCTCCTAAGTATTTATTGAGTTTTTGGATAGGAATGGATGTCAGGAGCATTGGCTAATTAATGAGAGCTTAGTCTGAGCATGGTTGTTGTCATCCCTCCTGAACTTTCATTATAAACTCCATTTAATTAATTTTACCATTTTTGTATTGCCACATGTTTTTTGTCAGGCTTTGATCTTCAATCTCCCTCACAGATATGGTAATAATAAATAAATCAGCTAATTATAATTGTCACCATAAGCATGGTTAAGTATGCGTGGGATAAACAGGAGTCACGATCATCCTTCATTCAGCTGCTTCTTTCCTGGCTAATAGAGTGTTCTGTATTAGTACAGTATGTGGAATGGCCTGTGAACTACAGTTCTTCTTGTTACATTGCTTTACAACAGGTTCTTAGCAGCTCCTCATAATTCACCACAAGTGCACTGCACTAAATTTAAAGTCATTACTCACTGTAGTTCATGCAGTACCTGTCAGAAGAAAAACAATGTTTATCAATTACATTGAACATATAAATAAAATATATGGGAATCATAAACTTGGGAATTTAGCTCCCCCCTGCAAAATATTGCCTGGAATGAGAGAGTAAATATTTATACTCATAGAAAATATATTTTTGATAATTTATTGATAACGTGGTAGGATATCAATCAAATAATTAATAGGACTGCATGCTCCAGATAATAAATTAGTAGTATAATTAAAAGCCAGTTCTTAAAACAATAGCTAAAATATAGAGTGGTTGCTGCCCAGAGGGCAATGTGTTAAACCTGCTCTGTGTTTGGCAATCAGGGAACCTACTTAAGAAGGTTTGGAAGCTCTCTGATGAGTCATTCCTATCAGGTGTGGTACTGAATGGCTCTATTTGAAAACACCTGCAAAGGAACAGTTTGAAGGTTTAAATAGCAAAGTGCAGTTGTTGCCTGGGGAGTAATGAAACATTGAAGTACATATATAAAAATAATAAAGTTGTGTTGTTTTTCAAGGGGGGGGGAATAGATTTCCTAAAGGTCTCAGTTAAAGAGGTTGGGCAGTGAACTGTGGCTGGTATATGATTAGCACTTCAGAAACAGTTGTTGTTAGAACATTGAGGGACAGAGTACTGTTTTAGTTTAAGAAAGCAGGCTTTCTTTCAAAATATTTTTGAAAATTAACCTTAAGGTTCTATCTCTTACAACCACAAACTTCAAAAATAGTTAATTTGTTCAAATGAAAAATCAAAAGGTTGCTTTTTCTTTTAAATTTTTAAAATATTTTTCTTTTAAATTTCAGTATCAGCCCTCCTGGTTCTGCTTTCAGGCAATGATTAAGTCAATATGCTGTATTGACCCAAACATCCACTGTGGAATTATGAGTGTCAATTAATTTAGCAAAGCGATGTTTCAGGCAGGAAACTATTTTTTTACTTCCTTACAAGACAATACAGTAGCATACAAATGCTACTCTTTTCTGTACAGTTGTAATACTGCTAGACACATATCTACAGGTAGCAGTAGTTTTTTAATAGGTATGTCTAGTGAATGGCAAGAAATGTATTTTAAAGTTACCTCCAGCAATCAATGATGCAGTATTTTAGACTTTCAAGGAAAGATACTGACTCCCCGCCCATGTATTGTCAGTTGTTAGGCATGCTAAGCTTAAAAAGGTACAATAGGGCACAGTGGCACCTCAAAGGATGATGCCTAAAGGCACTTGAGTGATGAACTGTAGCCCAATAGCTAATAACAGCAGCAGTATTGTAACGTTTTAGCCTGGTCTTGTCAGATCACAGAAGCTATGCAAGATGGATCATGGTCAGTTTTGGGATGGGAGGCCTCCTTGGAAAGCCAAATTGTTCTCTGGCCCAGAATTTCCGAACCAATTTCATGTCATGGTGATGGTGCACACTGTGTTCAATGAGATGTTAAGTAGAGACATCTTGATCATGAAAGATCCCATGACACTGTTCATAAGAATAGGGACATTAACCAAAGTGTCCTGGCTAAATCCCTTTCTTGTCTAATTATCTTAATTACTAATTTACTTAGAATTAATTAGTATAAGCAGTGGGGCTGCTGGCACATAATGGGACTATACATCACACTTCTGATGATAGTGATGCAGTGGTTCACCTTTAGTACACAAGGACTTTGGAATCTTTTGGGGGTATCACTACACAAGTGCAATGAATTAGTTTATGCCTATTTGTGTATGTTCTCCTCACTGAAATAAAGAAAACCATTATTATTTAGTGAAATTCAACATTTGTGACAGTAGAGTGGGGTTGGAAAAAATACATGGCAGATTCAGAAGCTGAGGAATGGAGAGTAAAACTGATAACCTTATTCACACCATCTGCCATGGCCTGCAAAGTCAGCTCTCTGGGACCATCCACAGTCTTTCCATCATCTGTAGGTCCCCAGCTTGCACTGTAAATGTCAATGACTTGAGGCATATGACTAATTGAGGAGGCCTCTATGATATCCGTCATAAAAGGTTGGTCCAACATACGAATGCCTGGAAAAAAAATAATAAACCAATTACATTAATTAAGGAAAACATCACAATGTTAAAAAAGACACCAGTGAATTAAATTCAGTATGCATTGTTTTGTTAGAGTGATTGAATAAACGTGGCCTGACATTGACACAGAAATATGGTGACTTTAGCACTGAAGTCATATCCACGAGAAGATATTACTCATTCTGCCACAGGGAGGGAAGATGCCTCTTTTCAGATCTTGTTTTTTTAAGATTAAGCAGCTGAAACTACAATGATTCCAAAAGTCAAAACATTTCCATCAAAATTCAAATTGAATTATCAGGTTTCTGCATGTGTTGTGCATTTTACGACATTTGGAATATAACAATTTAGTACAACTCTCAAATAGAGAAAATGAATGAAGACAAGTACAATATAGTGAAAACTAAACCATCCTAAATCAATTAAACGATTAATTGCTTTTTTGACTGTGCCAAAGAAACACTATAGAGGGAACGGAATTGAATGCTTCTTTGATCAAATATTTTATAGTGAAAATTAATATTAGGAAATCATTTATATTTGTCATACTCTTAAAAACATTCGTATGATCAAGAGAGCCGATCGTTTGTACCAAACGCACCCAGTTTTCCCGTTGCCTATGAATATGCCATCTTTTCGAAAACACTTCATTAGTGTTTTTAGTCTCTCAGCCTACACAGCCCACACACGCAATAGGACAATGACAAATAACAAAAACACATCCCACAATCCCATCTCTTTCACCAAGAAACCCAATAAAAAATTAAATACAATGTTAACAATACAAAATACTATGGATGGTTCAAGCTACTGTCTGCAAATAACCCTAGATCATGGTTATGGTTATGGTCCAGGCTATTGTCAGGATTAGGATTTTAACATGCAATTAAGATATTATTAACACAGTAAACTCAATTTTTTAAAACATTTATAGATGGCACTTTCAATTGGAATTTTCCCCCATAATCTGTAACATCCTAAAACAATTCAATGATTAATTGCTTTTTTAACCATGCTAAAGAAACACTATAGAGGGAACAGAATTCATATTTGTATTGAATGTTTCTTTGATCAAAATATTTTATAATCAAAACTAATGTTTATCCCACCAATGGGGACTCATTCGCCTTATTTCATCCATACAGCATGTATTTCCGTTCAGTAACGTACAGTATTTCCAGAGAACTTGCGTTCCGGGCCTACCTGCCACCTTGGAGTTGTAGGCCACTCCCACACCACAAATGTTGTTGTTCGCGGCTGCAGAAACCTCTCCTGCACACCGGGTTCCATGACTGCACAACAAAACTTCAATTAAAAACCTAGAGCATCAAATCAAAAACCAGACAATCTAGACAGGTTTTCTGTTCGAGTATTGCCTAAACCTGTTATTACTATGTTTAGAAACATGATTTTTTTTTTTCTGGCGGGTCTAATTTCAGCCAAAACATCTTAGTAGGTTGCGTGGATAATGAAATACCCTTATCTTGGTCTTGGCTGCAATAATTTGTACATGTAGATGTGTAAAATCTGGGACAGCAGACAGATGCCTTCTCTGTCCTTATTAGATGCCAAATAAGTCTGATTAATTAGAAACTTCCCTTATTTCTATTTGTTTTTTTTTTTCTTTTTAATATTTGAGTTTTTCTGTATTGCTAAAAAGATTGTAAGGCATAGCGGAATTTAATTATTTCTTGTCAATTCAGATTGAGTCATGTTTTTTTTTAAATTATATATATGTTAGTAGATTGTTCAGTAATACCAGTTTTCTTTTTATTTTTTATCACAGAATTGCTGGTTCTATGGAGAGTGTCTTCCTTTACACAGATGTAAAGTGGATCTAAAGAGCATCTTGGTGTCTGAAGCCAGTGTTGAATTTGCCAAGCTTAAAAATAAAACAAGGCAAAGCAGAAAAGGACATCCTAGTGAATAATTGCTTGAAGCTGAGCCAAATAGAACTGCCACTGATCTGCTCCTCAAATGAGGGAGACTGATTATTTTGAAAAGGTTAGTAACACCACAAATCCGGCACTATTTCCAAAAATAACAACCAAATTAAAATGATATAATAGCATCCTTCTTTGTCTGTCTGGCTTACAGTAACAGGCTGCACATTCTGTTCAAATGCAGTGTGCACGTCTCATTGGACTTGGCTGAGGCACAATGCTATTTATAAATAATCAGCTGAGAAGTCTGCAGACCACACATGCCACAGACTGAGTCCAGTGATCCTGCTAATCAGTAAAGCTTTTTTTGAATCATGGACCCATTTCTTATTCAGTATCATGGCACATACTGTTTGCACATGAAGAACCAAAAAAGGGAAAGAAAATGACTTGTCCTTGAGCTACCCTTGAGTATATCATGCTGTCTACAAAAGCAACAGAGGCATGATGATAAATTCTTAGAAGCAAAAAGCTACTGCTGTGCATTTCACCACATTTCACATTCCAAATACTGTACAATATTTCCAAACTACATCTAAAAGCATAACTTTACACATACCCTCTGGGGTTTCTCATTCTGTAAGTAAAACCAGATGGTGTAAGCAATGTGCAGTTCACAATATAAGGGAACAATACCAGAGATCAATGAAATATTTCAATTAGTGGAATTAGTGAATAAATTAGAATGAAATTAAAGGACCCAGAGGACTACTACAGAAGTCAGAGGTCAATGACATATTTATAGTTTACAGATCCAGATATTTCCAGATTCCTTGGAGACGTAGAATAGAATTAGAACACCTAAAATTATTTTCAGCTGTAACTTGTAAATTAATTTGGACTTTTCTATATAATTTATGGGGAAAACATCTAAGAAATTTTAACCAGCTTCTTCAGCCATAAGACTTGAAATCGTATTTTTACATATTTGAGTGGCACCCTTGTCATGCAGAAGACAGTTGAAAAAGCAGGCAAAAAATAAAACAAGATAAAAATCAATAATGTATTCTATTGTTTTCAGAACCATGACCTATATTCTGCACTAGCTTGCAGTTCAGCGAAGATCCTCCTGCTGATTTTTATAAGTATGCTTCAACTTTGTACAAATACTATGTAGTGTACACTTCAAGGATGCATGAATTAAGAAATTAGTTTAGAGGATGCAGAAACATTATTAAGGATATACACACATAAACATTTAAACAAAGACATGACAGGTTAAGTATGACTCTCTTGTACTTTTGTCTCTCTAGTGCTCCAAAAACAGAACACAGCACAAAGATACCGGACACTTCATATGTTTTAATGCATCTGAGATGAGTGCCCTAAGATACGGCTTAATGGAGCTACGTGTAAGGAAAATCAATACTCAGACTCAGAGTGAGCCAGTGCCATCCCTCAGCAAGCTGCTGCTGCAGACACATCATTTCTCTGTGTGTTCATTATGAAGAAAGAAGCTGCTGTGGTCTCTTATGCTTGGTTCCTAATGGTCTGTGGAGAGCAAAAGTGCTTGGTGACCAATCGAAAAATACCTGTTAAACCAGTCATCTGTGTAGCGAGGGTAGGGATAAGGGTCATTGCTGCTAAAGTCATAGCTGGCTTCTGCGTTCTGAAATGAGAAATTATTGTATGAAATTGGGCAAGAACGCAAATTAGGTTGGAAAACATGAAGTTCTCTGACCTTTCCGAATAAAAATAAAAAAATGCAACCAGTCATTTACATAGAACATTAGCTGTGGAAATGCAATGAAGGCTAATCATTTGTACTCAAAGAACAGGATGGAATTAAAACCCTTTATGCACCCTGATTTATTGTTCTTACATGTTCGATAACAGCTCATGGATTGACTTGTGTTGACAGGATGCTAGAGACACGGAGACAAGTAGTCACATCAGTGGGTCAACCAAAAAAAAAAAGGAATGGGGGCAGTAGGAGGAGTGTGTGTCAAAATAGAAACAACGACAGGAAAGCAATAAATATTAAGTAGTTTAATTTGTGAATGTCTTGATTTTAATTTTCACAAGTTCTCAGTTACAATGATGACCTGGAGAGTCCTCCATTTATTGAAGCAACCAAGTGAAGCACTTTGCTCAAGGGTACAACAGCTGTGTCCCTCTTAGACATTTGCACCCACGACCTTTTGTTCCAGAGCCCTAACTACTACTCCATGTTACAGCCAAATCTACAGCTTTTTGTAACAGATAGTCACTTGAGTTCAAAAGCCATTATTGGGCGACAGAAAATGTAAACTTCCAGTATATAGCAATTATATTATCAAGGGAAATTAATGCTCATCGTGCTTATTTTATGTAAATGAAAGGATCACTGACGTTTGCCCTCAAAGGTTTGACTCTAAGTCATGAAATCGGTTTGTTTTAATAAGTTGATATTGACCTAGACACATGGAAAACCTTTATCTTTCATTTTATTTTTTATTTCATCATGGAGAAACAGACTTTTTTTCTTTGTGACAATACTGAGATTTGAGCTACATGTTTGATTGTTGTACAGTCTCATTTTATAGAACAAATTATATGATAATGATGGATGTTATTACTAATCATTCTAGATGATAGGCTCATTTAAAATTATTATAATAGCAATGTTTAGATGCACAGGGCTGCAAGGAATATTAAGAGACTGACATTTTCCTATTTAAGCATCATGTTAAGTATGCATTTTCTTTTGTTTTATATTTGAATTTTATACTGCTACAAAAGCCCAAAAAGTGCAACATACTTCAAAGTTGTCATAAAGGTAGCAATATTGTTTAGTACTAGTCAACATACCCTGACAATCTCCATTGCAGTATTTTGATAGATACCTGTGTATTGATTCTGCTAATCAAATAAATAATTAAGGAACTGCCTGTACATTGATTTACATTTGTTAGACAGAGGAAATAGCAGGTGTTATGTTTGCAAGGCAGCTGACCAGTTAATGATCAGCTTTATTGACAAACATTCGTTCTTCAATTAATAGTTCTCACTCCTTGTCCTGGAGAGCAATAGTTCTGCATGTCTTATAGGACTAACTGGTCCCCATTAAGTTAATAATTGATTAACTTAACTCTAGCTAGGCTAGGATGAAAAAGAGAAGATTATGACTTTCTGAAACCTGAGGACCACTGATCTGTAGCCTATGAATTTCATGGTAGTGTTCGTTAGTTTCCAGTGTATTACTGTAACCTTGGTGAGGTCTGTACTATAAAGCAGGCTGTTTCAAATGTGTGAGACAGTGCGCTTGAGGGAAAACTACCCTGTCTGTACACAAAAGACCTTAAATTGAAAACTGAAGCCTGCTTTACCTTTGTCAACAGGAATTAACACTTGAGCTTGGTTTAATGTTAAACCATTTAACTCCTACACAAAGAGGAAATAAACCTAAAATAATTCGGAATTATATTAGTTGCATAGCTATTCAGGTAAATTCACCATCCCTTTTCTAATTGCTTCTTCCAATTCAGGGTTGCAAGGGAGTCAAGCAACATGAAGAATGTTGGTTGCAGACACAAACACATTCAGACCAGGGCCAATTGTCCCAGAAACCTTAACCTACCAGTTCGTGTACAATAACATCAACTTTTCACATTTAAAATATAGACAGGATAATCTTTAAAGAATACTGTTAATTAAATGCATCACAGTTAAAACCATCTCACGAAAATAATTCACTTTAAAAAGTATAAATCCAAAAGAAAATATGATGCAAATGACCAATATGTCACAGATGGCTAAGAATCACTCAGTTAAATATCAATTCTTTCCATTACGATAAAGTATATTTCTTTTCAAAATAGGTACCTTTTGATAAGAGAAAATTTGGACAAGTCAAGGAAAAAGCATCTTTAACATAAAAGGTAAACTTCCATGGCTCAAGAATCAACATACAAAAAAATGCAAGAACCAGGCATCACATTTTATGCCTGCAGTTCTTAAAAATGACACATCAATTTGCTGTGCTTTGATACATCATTTATTTTCTGTGATCCATCTTTGCAGTTAAGGAAATTAGATTTTTTTATGAAGAAGCTGCTTATAAACCCTGCCAATTTTCTAGATCATCACTGCCCCCAACACGTCTGTTGTAACTTGCTGGCTGAAAGGTTAATCTGGTTGTGAATCTGCTGAAGTTAGCAAAAATAGACATTAAAATGTTTCCAAAGCAAAAATGAAATAAACTTGACCATCACAGTTCCTAGAACGCACCTAGAACAATTCACAGCTAAAGCAAAAATCAGGTCAGGGCTCTAATGTGAAAGATTAAACACATATTACTGATACAAACACTGCACATGCCCTTTCATCAAAGAGACACTCAGTTTTCTGGTGTAGATAGGCTATCAAGGCGCTATGTCTTTGTTTCAGCTATTTGTATCTGGGATCCACATAATTATTACTCATCTCTGTTTGATGAAAGGGCAGAACAGACATACTGTAGACATGGTTTTCCTTGCTGAGTTGGAGGAAGGGGGGTGTGAAGTGATGGAGGCAGGGACTATGCTGAGGCTTTGTGCCACCTCACATCACTCTCATTGGCTACTCGATAAACCTACTGAGAGCAAATGAAAGCAACAGAAAATATTTGAGCTCTCAACATATAACATAATATACCTGTATGTGCATTCACACATGATACAGTATATGACTGATTTGGTGGGATTTGAGTCAAATTGGATCCAGCATTTCCTGTGACACTTCAGAAAAATATTACAAACTAATTAACTATTAAGAATTAACTACGCAAAACACTATTGTACGAGTGCATAATCCCATTCTTAATTATGAATAAAATGATATTCACATCTCTGAATCATAACTGATTAGTGTTGGAAATGGAAGCAGCTTCCCAACTACTTTGGGAATATTATTGAGACAATCTGTTACACATTTTATATTTTTCTATTAAAATCATTAAAATGAAGACTACAGCAAATCCGGCACACCCACAATGAAGTGACTCTGGGGGGATAGTTGATTTATTCATTTTCTTTTAAAAATTCAAACTTTAAATTAAAACTGAAATCTATTCTTTCTTCTTCGGTAGGACCAATACCTATAAAAGATGGATTGAAAACTACAATGTTGTATTAAAAGAATGAAGAATTACAATCAGTACATTTACAATGTCTTGAAAGCAAGGGTGTAACCTGATACAATTATACTATCAATGCCGTTAAATCCTGCATTCATAGATTTAACAGATTAAATGGATTTATCTAATTATAATAGAGGTCATTATGTTTTTAGTGATTAGTCCACAGGTTTTACTTGACACGCCCTAGACTGTTTTGTTTTCCTTTCAAAACCAGTTCCTTTTAATATTAAAAGATCCAGCTGGAGGCAAGTTATTTTCAATCAAATGGCTTTCTAAGTCCTTCAAGCACTACTTACAATATGCTGTTTTCATGAGATTTCTGCAGCGTGAGTTTACATCGTAATATTTCTATGGCAACCCAAAGATGTGATGATATGTGGATGCAAAAAACCCAGAAATTTGAGTGACAAAGGCTCTGTTCTGTATACTTTTGAGCTGCTTTTGGCTGGCCTCCATCTGGCTGAGCTCAAGAGGATTGCAGATGAAAAATTATTTTCCTGAAGGAGTCCTTTGTCAGTTAAATAAATAAAGTTTTAACCTGAATCTTAATTCCACTCAGCATATTACATGTACGTACTGTACCTTAGTTTTGCACATGAAATTAAACAAAGTAAACCTGAAATTAAACACGGTACCTTTATACAAGGTACTGTGTGGTATTTTTTCAAAACATCACCTGTTTCAGAAAGAAAGTGACTCCGGCCACAATTTACTGGATTAACACTGGATTAATTTTTAAAAAAAGTTTATATAATTTATTAAGAAAATGTCTTTACATTTTTAATGATGCTTTTCTGTTCACACTCTTTGCATGTAATTGAAATTTCCATATTTTATTATTTCATACAAATTACATCTCTAAAGACAAGTAAAGGATCGAACACAGTACGACAGTAAGGCAGTACGTGGTACTGAAAATCTCAGTGAATCTACAGGGAGCTTCTCTGGTAGACAAGTAAAGCTGTTCTGACCCTGCATTTATGCCAAACTTTAATTAAATCTGAGGTTTTAGAAACACTTTATGGATATGTTTGCCATCACTCGTTAGTTGGCAGTCTATCCGTTGGTACTTGCAGTATCACGTAACATGATGATTCACTATGGGGAGTGATTGTTTCTTTTTGACTTTGTCAAAAAAAACATTGTTCCACAGCACTAATAAGTGGGAGACCTGGGATCCTTGTCTCCAAGGATTTCCTGTGATTTGCAAGCCTAGAAATGAACACGTCTTTAAATATAAATTACAGAAAAAACGCACAAGCTTGATTTGGAGTTGAATGAAGCACCACTATGACTGAAAGAGCCATCAAAAGCAAGCTGTTTCCTAGGAAATGCTGCAGTGATCATAAGCAGAAAGAATCTCCCTCATTAGGAGTAGAGTGCAATGCAGTAATAAAAGGTTTTAATTAATTAATGCTGATAGAAATGCTTTGGATTCTTTGGAATATTTCAATAAATAAAACGCAAACAAGCAAAGTGCACAGAAGAATCACTGTTATGCATAAAATTAAGAGTGTTTGAGCTTCATGAAGCTGCTACAATAAACTCAGGAGTGCGTGGGTTGCACATTCTACCCACAGAAGACAGGCCGGTGGAATGTTATTTTTGGTTTTAGACTTAACATACAGCTGCACAGCCCTCTAAGCAAATAAAAGAGAGATTTCTGGGGTGTTTATAGTCTTTAATCCCATCCAAAAAATCTACTTCCACTTCTCCAAAAACAAAGTAAAAATGGAGATACTTCATTACTCAAATGTCATTGTGCTATTTTTTTCCAAAAATTTTGATTTGGAAAACCATTGTTTTTCTAACATACTGTACTAATATACTGTACGATAACATACACCATAAAAAGAACTCCAAGCTAAGAAGTCTCATTTAAAAAGATGGAAACAGCAAAATTCACCCTGTGCATCTTCATACAAAATACGGTAAATTCAACAGCAGCCAGTTGTAAAATTGATTTAAAAGCATGAATTACACCATGCCATTGGGGATATTAAAATTAAATTATAAAGCCTTTATAAAAAATAAATTCATAGCACTTGATCTTAATCCTTAGATCTGAAGATCTGACTCAAAGATGACAAACACTAATCCTGGGGAGGTCTTTTTACTGTAGGCCTCCCTTTAATCATTGTTTTCTCAATGTTTGGAACAATTTTGCTTTCACCATAGAAGCCGTTCCACTAAGTATTTCACAGATTTAAAATGAAAAGGACGACTGTTGGTCATTGCTGACTTAATTAAACTTATTGACTTACTAAATTGATTAACATTCACATGTTCCAAGTCTTTACAAATTGATTATTTAGGGGTGACATATAAGACGTAATTGACTGTGGCTTTCCAAGACCAGGTTTGACCACCCCTGGTCTAAATGTTCCTCATTAAACCAGCTAGGATAGTTAGTTAAAACTTAATTTAAATTGTTGTCAGTGAGGTACAGTATATGTTCAAAACAGTTATACTATTTCTTATACTTAATACTTTTTTTTGCTCAACTACAAACAACGGGAAAAATAGGTACTGTAGGTCCCTTTTCAGGCCATAAAGGCCCATGGGGAATGGGGGGCAAGGGCCACCATTTTTCTCACCCATCCGACACTGGAGGTGGAGGTGATGTGGTCGGCATCACACTCCGGCCGGCCTATTACCCCCAGAAGGATTAACCCCCAGTACTCATTTGGAAAACAGGCTGAGAGGATCTGAGAGCCATCTGGAAGGAATTGGAGCAAGCTACATCGCTTGGCCATAACTGGGATTGCACCCAGGGCCTTCCAGACAGATGGGGAAAAAACACATTAAGAGTAATGTGGGCATCACACACATACTGTAACACAATGCACAGAAATACACAAAAAAGACCATCATTTTCAGGATAGGAATGTTAGCATCAGTTCAAGTTAAGAAAGCCTGAGCCAAGTTAGTATTTCAGATGAGACATTAAACTGTAGATTACAGATCCCATGGTGTTATTTATAAGAATAAGAATGTTAAGCACAATTTCCTGGCTAAATTCATTCATAGGCCTGCATAATTCACACAACCTAGAGCCCCCCCTCCCCCTTAACAGAGCTGGTGAAGTACTTTTTCACTTGTCCACCTGATCTGCTGTGCAGTGAGGCTGCAGGTATACAATGGTTGCTTTGTGTAACACAGATGGATGGTAAGTGAAGTGGCTCCCCTGTTTTTATGTTACTTACTTTGGGATCTTATGGGATGAAAAGCACTGTACACAATGCAAGGATTTTTTCATTTTTTAATATATTTGTTCTATCTTCTCTGAAACATCATCAAAGGAAAGCTTTAAAATGAAAGAAGGAAAGTCCCTCATGCAATAATTGCAATAATCCTACTGTAAACGTTGCCTTCCACTAGTGTAACTGACTGCTTCATACATTCAGATTTTTCATCATCACCTGCATTTAACACTATTATGTAAAAGATAAGCACTCTGTTTCAGTACTCCCAGCTTCAGCCAATGATTTCCAATGATTTTTTTCTCAGTATTCTAATAGAAAAATAAAACCCTCTGCAGACTGATTTTCCAAATTTTACTGTGATTTTCACACAATTTCCAGAGCACAACACAATGGTTTTACTATAAAAAAGACATCTCTTACTTACATAATTTGAAGCAAGATCTGGATGTAGATAATCAATTCCTGTGACAAAGCAGAAGAAAATATTGGCCAAATGAAAAAAAATTGAAATGTCAAATAAACTTACATGAAAATGTAATCAGTCATCACCCCAACGTTTTTTTTTTTTTCAATTTAAGCTCTGTGGAACCAATTTCACATTGGAATCCTTTATAGTACATCAAGCATTGTATTGTAGTTGCGGCAGTTTCTATTTAAAGACACACAAGTTACAATCCAAGATGAAAAATGCATTTTCATGATCAATTTTGTCTGCAATCAAACTGCTTCTTAACTACAGATACTTTAGGTTAATGTGAAAAGGGAGGCAGGAGAGTATCCCCCTCACCATCTATGAGCTTATGCACTAAATATTGTTTTTCATTATTTTTTTCTTTTCAAGATTAGTTAAATGAAAAGCTTACCATCATCCATAATTGCTATAGTCACCCCTTTCCCAGTAAATCCTAAATCCCAGGCCTCCGCCACATTGAGATCCAGCCCAGGAGTGCCATCCGCTTGACCTGTATTTATCTAATCAGACAAACAATATGGAGGCACTCTATGAAAACAGAAGCCTAGGCGTGTATATTACAAATTACACAATGCGAGGAACAGGCAGGAATATAAATGTCACCAATATTGCACTGACATAATAGCAGCTGGGGAGCTCTTAAACTGACAAGCTTAATAAAGACACATTTTTTTAAAAAAAAGTCATGGGTGCTTCTAAACAATAGATGAAGACCCAGAGTGTGATTATAGATGTTAATATGTTTGGAACTTGAATGCATTTTTAACATACTGTATAAAGAAAATACAAATAGTTTAAATGTGGGCAGATCATGAGAAACATGCAGTAATATATGATTATTTTAAAGCACATACTGTACAAGGAAAATGTATTCTCCTATCCTTCATTTTATTTTTAATCAACAAAAAACAATATTACTCAACACAAAATCATTTTATTCAGTGTCAAAGTTATATTGACAACAACATTTTTATACTCTGAATTATATACAGTAGGCCTGTTAGTGCCACAGAGAACAAATATTGCATGGAAATAAAGTACATGGAAATTACATGGAAACGTAGAAACCTTTAATATAAGCTATCTCAAAAACAATACATACTGTATTTATTCAAAACAAAAAGTAAAAGACAATGCTCAAACAAGATAGAAAAATGCAAGCTTTTTCAGTAACAGCTGATCTATAAAATTGCTTACAAGATACCACTGTTTGGTGAATAGTGGATCATTCATATTGACTTCAATTTCATTAATATCCCTGTAGCCTCGCTTCATCCTCTCAAATCCTTCCTGTTGTAATATACTCTTCACCTGAGAGATAGAGGAAAAAACATGAAAAATTAATGTTCTCTTTGCAGTTTCCTTCTCCTGCTAAAACATACGTAACAACTGTATTGCGACAAGAAATTAACATTGAAAAATGTACATACATAATATTATGTATAACATTGGCAATTTTATTTTGGATACTAAAGTATTAGAAACAAAGAAAAGAAAACAAAAAATAAACCTAATCAATACATTTTCAATGTCTTTGAATCAATTTACACTACACTGCTTAGAATCCAATCAAACAGATGTTGTTTAGTTTTAACACAGAAGTTTTCCTAGGCTGGCCAGCTGCAGATTTTATGTTTATAGTATACAGTATGTAAAATGATGACCCTGCAATGGATAAAGTGGCAAGAAAATGAATGAATGGATGGAAAATGTATGTACTGTACTTCTGGACATTGTACTGTAGTTTTATATTGTGTAGGTGAGACCAGAAACCAAAAAGCTGCTTATTCAGTTACTGACCATGCTGACCTCAACCTACATAGAATTCCACAGTTTCTGCTTCTAAACTTCCCTCACTATTCTATTTCAATGGAAATCATCTGGAAAATACAGACCTGTGCTTTCTGTTCCTGACTGAGCTCAGACCTCCATAGAGGCAAACAGCGCATCTTTATGCTCTGTACAAATTCCCACTGACACCAAGATAAAACATGAAAAGATGAAAAGCAAAGGGGAAACCGAAGGAGGTCAGCCATTAAAAAACAAAATTAAAAACAAAGAAATAATCAAAAGTATGAAAATGAGGACTTCCATATAACAGCAAAAGTAGAGAGTGAAATAAAATGTCACCCGAATAATAAAAGGAAATGTCTACACAATTAAATGAAAATGGCTGATGTATTAAATGAATTTTTCACTTATATATTTACAAATCAATGGTGTTTCTCATGCTGAAGAAAGAAGGTGTATATTATTGGAGCTTATATTAATAGAAGTTCGGGAGCAAGGTTAGATCTTGCATACTGGTCTTCCCTTTGCATACTGTATCTTTCTGACAAGCCCCCTGCCTCCCCATCAACACCCTTACAGCAGACTCCCTAGCTCAGTCCTCGCAATACTGAGGGGGGTTGAGCGGCTTATCCTCTTGGATGAGCTGCGATTCCTTCAGCTGGGCAAGTCACGCCAAATATTTTATACATATTTAATTCCTCTATCACATTCATTACAATCTAACAGAACTACTGAAAATAGCATTAGCACAGAAGTGGCAGATGTGTTACAGTTACTAGAAGCACATTAACGAATCACCTGATGGTATTCTCCCAGTTGTAGTGGAGGAATCAAGATGCTATTCATAAGCCACAAAGCTCGCTTGATTTTAGAAAAGGCAGATCTTGCATAACCAAGTTGTTTGATGTGTTTGAACAAGCAACAGTAATAATGGATAAAAACACAGCACATGATTTAATGGGAAATGAGCCACCCAGCCATGGCGTTGAAGCTGATAACCTTACTTCTTTCACGAAAGAGTGGGATGAAATACTCAGACCAATTTCAGCAGCTCTTAAATGATGAATGATTACATTGGATGTTCAATTTTTCAGCTGAGGACATGCATGTTACGTATTTCTCTTCTATGCAGCTAATATATGGTATTAAGTTATGGTAAATAAAATGATTGAACATTGTATTTTTCACTGTAAAATGAGTACTTGATATTCTGTGAATTCCTCCTGTGCAGGTAAACGGCACATCTTTCTCATTCACCAGCTTTTGGAAGCTTTCCAAAATAGTCTCTATGGGAAATACTAATTCCAGTTTCCCAGTTTTACTGCTCTTAAGAAAACATTTAACTTTTAAATTATTTTTCCCGTTTTTACTCTCCAAATATTCATTATTCCCGATCTTCCAATTAATCTTATTAAAACTAAAAATGATGAGAACTGGAGTGAAAATGTCTAGCTAGCTTATTCTATTAATTCAACCATCTAGTCAGGGATCTGGAAATGTTATATGTAATATTCTGTAATTAAAACCATGTTTGGCTTACCCAGTGCAAGTAGCTAACATGCACTCAATACCTAACGCGTGTTGTAGCTGAATGCATGAAAATAGCTTCAGCTTTACCCTTCCACAGTTCAATTGAATCTTTTCACTTCTAAGCTGTTACTAAAATTGAATTATAGCTGCTGTGCCATTTAAGAGCAAGTAAAAGCTTTAAGATAACAAAGTGCATTTGAATCCAAATCAGATCTTAAAAGTAAATACAGAGCTGTTTATTTACAATATTCAGATGTTTTCATTTTGAAGTGTTGCGGGTCCATATTAATGTTAGCACTCTCCTTTTCTGACCCGTTCATATTTCAGCTTAGACTTTGCATAATCATTCATTCTTTTCAAATCATATCCGAGACATAGATTCCATGTGTCTGAAGTCTGCCTGTAGAATAGCTGTGCTGTCATCTGTTCTTTGGAAAGGCAATATGTATGGCAACAGAGATTCATTCTTTCTGCTGGCAATTCCATGTGTTTTTGTTCAAGAAAGGGACTTTACAGGGAGATCAAAAGCAGAGCCACTCATGGTTTCTTTGAAGAGCATTTACAGAAACACTAAGGGCTATTCACAGAAGCTTTAAATAATCAGATGCAGGGTTTTCTTCTGCAATCTTTTTTTTCTGTGATTAAAATAATATATAAAATGAATTAAGTATATTGCTTTGTGATTTCCAAAGGATGTGCTGAAAACAGACTCGTGATTAAAGAAAGTACAGTAAATTGGGAGAATGAAAAAGTGAGATGAGAAAACCCCACTGAAATTCCTTACGAACAACATGTTTTAAATAGGTGTGTTCTAAAAATTAGCCAATAGCACACATGAGTGTTTAAGTGACCCAGAAGATGAAAACTGTCCTATATATAATTTCACATTTTGCTATGAATACTACAAAAACTGTGTTTATGCTAAAGAGTGCCTGGAAAAAGCACAAGACTGATCTCAGGTCTCAAAACTGTCCCTGTCAATGTTTGTTTGGAGAGGCCTGATGAAAATATGTTAAGAATACAAAGAGCACCACAAAGGCACTGCAGTCTTCCAGCTCATAAATCCACTGCAGTATCTCTCCTGTTTGCTAGGCTATTTTGCAATGATCTGGGTGTCTTCATACCATCAGACACTATTCAGCTACATCATTAGGTAGAACCTGAACCCACTAAGTAAAATATGTGAGAGTTTAGTAAACTCTTTGTGCTAAGAACATGCTGTGGGGGGGAGTTGGGGTTACACACTATGATTATATTCATGTAACACTATATTATTTTTCAGAACCACAGCACAGCTGATTTGTATCTAACCCTGCTCTTAGAGATTCTTGATAAACCAAAGAAGAAGAGCTTTGAGGATTGCCGACAACCTTGCTCATTTATTTTATTACAAACCTCATATTACAAAAGAATTAGAATGGGAGCCCATAATGGAGACAGAATTAGATTGAAAGTCGGTAATAGAAATAGCACCTTGAGAACTTAAAAAATGTATTTAATGTGAAAAGTCTTTAACTTTGCAGCATATTAAAGCAAACCTTAAAGGAGACAGCTTACACATCAATGCAGATATACAAAAGAAGAACACTAAGACTGAATATTTTTTGTAAGAATAAGAATGATCTTCAACATAGAAATGACCATTTTACATTTCAGGGAAAGTATTTTGCAATGTGGCTTGTCTTAAGACATAGATTTAACTTAATGTGTAAAGAACGAAGCCCAAAAGAATCAATTAAATAGAAAGTACAGATAACCAAGTATGGATAGAGGTACTGTATGCTAAGAATATCAAGAAAAAATAAATTTGGTAGAAGACAAAATGTACTATACATATAAGTGTATAAGACTAATTGTAAGACTAATGCATCAATGCAATGTATATTATAAATATATATAAATTTGGCAGACTGCTATAAAGTATGTAGGTTGACTCATGTATCATACATGCCCAGTCTTTCCTTTCCTTCCCCTCTTTGGAATCAATAGCAGATTTGCTTAAAGTATAATACAGTTTACTGATTCTTCGTGTGACTTTCGGCTTAACTGGTTAATCAGTTAAATCAATGAGCCAGATGAAGTACAATGTTCTAAAAACGAATGGATGGAAATGGTTGCTGTATTCTAAATACAGTAGCTGTAACATGTACTGAAGCTCCATTTGGGGAAAAAAATCTTGGATATTCTTAAAATCTTGTAGAACGTGATGTTTCACACATTTCCATTGAAATAGTCTATGGCCTGAGATAATTTAGTGTGACGTTTGATCTTTTTGAAAGCATGCATTATGACAAGAGCTGCATAGATTTATATGCCTACAAACTAGTCACATCAACATTTGTGGACCTATGGGCAAGTCATTTTGAAGGTCTATGAACTAGGCCTGTCAAAACTGTTCTGATTTTTAGAAACAATCAGGGAAAAGATGAAAGGTTTCAGAGTTCACCAGTGCAACCTACTGTACCTATTATTTTGCTATCAGGATGAACATTCAAAGTGCAACAAGCAAGAACAAATCCTGTTCAGAAAATCATTATTCCCACATGAATATCCTGATTTAGTTAGTAAGTGCTATAAAACATTGGAAAGGCTTTGCATTTATTCTTTAATAAAGCAGTACAAATGTTAGCAGTCTAAAAAAATGACAGATACAAGGCCAGTAGTAAGAATTTAAATTGGATATGCAATTTTTGCCTGAACATCTCATGTCTACTTGCAAGTGATTGTTGTAATTGTGAAGTGGCATAATCTTACCCACAGACAATTTAAGCATGGCTGTTACATAGTAATAAATTAAAAACCCTGTTCTATAAGATGTTTTGGTATACAACTAAGGCCTTTACTTATTGTTGTGTTGTGGTTAGATCGCTTTATTCTTTGTTTAATTTGCTGCTGCTAATTTTAGAGATGTGCATTTGCTGCTGCTAAATGTAAAGATTTGTAATTGTAAATACATGTAACAATGCAAATATACTACAGAATGCAATGTTTTTTCAAACATTACAATAATATTTTTCACAGAATCAATCAGATTACAATTTGTTTTAATGTAAATATTCAGAATACAAAAATGTAAAGGTTTTTATATATGTATTGTTTTTGCATATCTTTACACTGTACAACTGAATGTTATTCACCAGTATAACTTTTTAAACACTTTCTAATTATTATTGCTGCATTTAGTATTTATGGCATTTTAAGTTAGGCCTTTTTAAAAATTGAGAAATTCGTGTTATCCTTTAGTAAACTTAGATCACGGAAAATGTCGTTTTAGTTTCTTCTCTTCCGTGCTACTGTCACTGCACTACTAATCTTGTTTCTAGTTTATCGGTAGAATCAGAGAACCATCTTGGGTACTTTTCTACTAAGAAATCTGCGATAAGCCCTTGACTGTACAAGCTACACGATCCCTCTCATTTTGCCTGTTGTTTACCAGCACAGATAAGGATAAGGCAGTTAAATATGTCTTTTGAGAAAAGAAGACCAAATGTTTGCATTGCAATAAGAAAATGCTCTTTTTTTAGTTCTGTACATGAGGGCTTTACTTACGCTCATCTGTGTTACCACTTACTTTACAAAACACAAGGGATGGTTTCATTATAATCGACAACTATGCTAAGTCAATACAACACCCATAAGTAATTTAAAAGGCTTTACAGTCTAAAGGGAAAACATATAATTATACATATAATTATTATAATTATATGAAGGTGGAATGAGATTTCATTTATCTGAGACATTTGTGACATAGATATCTTAAATGCTGATCTTAAAAGTAGTCTTAATGTTAGTACTAGCATGTCATTTAACTGCCTATTCTGCATGATATGCACATGTACAGTACAGTCAACGTTGTTTTAAAGGCTTTACTACCATTTTGTTACAATTCCTAACTGATATTAGAACTACAATTTAATCATGAAATTGCTTAAATCATGTCTGTCCATATTTGATAAACATTTTGTAACATAATACCATATGAATGGTGAGTGAAGTGATGGCCAGTCCACGTGTTTACTGTTTCATCTGGTAGTTAACAGCTCTCAAGCAACCAGCTGATTCTTGCAGGGCACCTGGGTATCAGCTTCAACAAAATGTCTGGATACCTTGTTCCACACTTCCAAAACCCTCTGGGTAACAAAGTGCCTTCTGTTCTCAGGCTAAATGTACTTCCATGTTAAATTAAGTTCTGAATTTGTCTCCTTTGATTTATGTTTCAATGTAAGCTGTTTCGCTGTTCATTGTGAAGGAGTCAGATCTGTCAAGGCTTTTGGGGTATTAAAATGTATAATCACAAAAAGTTTTGTTTTTTATATTTAGAGTCACCATGTGATTTTTGTGTCACTTTTCACAGCAGATTCTTCATCTACTTATTTTATGGAGGAATATTTTTAACTTTGAGTGTTATATTTGGAAAGCCATGAATGTGTTTGCACAGTTATGCAAATGAAGTGAAGCTATAGACATTTCTTTTTCTTTTCTAGGTTCCTCTTTGCAACATTGGTTTTGCTTTGACTGCATTATCCAGGATTTATGCACTAGAGCAGATTCGCGTTACATGTGGGCACTTTCAGATGCCCCTGTTGACTTTTCAAGCACTCTGCTTTGTGTGACCTTTCTCAGAATTCCAATGAGACATGTTGGATTGCACACCTACTGTATGGCATGAACTGCTGCAGTTGTCAGGTTCTCTTAGTACAGCCTCGTAAGCACATTAAACCCCACTGCTGTTTGAATTGAAGCTCGCTTCAAGATACTTTCCAACTACCAAGGTTTGCCAGAGGATTTAATATCTCAAAGAATATATATAGTATAAGAGTTTACAAAATATGTATAGTACCATAGTTCACTATCCTCTAGAAAAATAGGATACTGCTATCTTATAAGAAAGCTGCCAAGCTACAGTATATAGTATATACAGAGATAAATAATTTCACAGTTAATTATAACATTTAACCCAAAGGGCTGTTTTAATTTGTTTGCGTAATAAATTAAGATTCATGTCTTGTAAGACCCTGGGTTTTTTAAAATCTCTTATCTTCAAAACCAATTAAAGTGAATTGTTCTTGCCTATCTTTTTATATTAGGCATATTCTTTTACATTCCCTACACAATTCTAATTGGAAAATAGTGACACATAATTGTAGCAAATATCAAAACCTCCTTCCATTTCACTCCTCACTGTCTGTCCCTCCATCACCCATTACCCAGGCTCCTGTCTTGTGTTGTTAAGTCAGTTTTGCCCCTTGAGACTGCCAGCTGTACTGAATATGGCCCTCTGAGCCAAGCTAATTCATACTGTATCTTTGTCTTCATAACAAGGAAATTATTGATAATTTTACCATTTTTAAATAAGAAAAGAACAAAAAAATTACTTGTGTGACAGAAAACATATGTTCTGCTTATTTTTGTTCTTCGGGGTGGCACGTGTTTTACACATTTTTAACAAGATGGAAACACTTATTACTGAAAGCAATGCACATGTGACCCCTTAGATAATTGTCATGTACTTGCCCAGAGTTTGTTCTGACACAAGCAGATGCATCACCAAGAGACATGCTGTGCATGTATGTTTTGTTGCTGAAAGGTCACATTAGCTGTAGTTCACGTTTAATTTAAGCAAGGTCTGACTTGAAATGTCGTACTGAGTGGTGTATTATGCAATAGTTAAAAGGACAAAGGCGACAGATAAAATCAACAAGCCGTAGACCAAACAGTTGACACAAAATACTCAACACAGCTGCATAAGAACTGTGCATGATCTGAAAGTCAAGAGTAATGTGTGAACATACTTTGTAATACTCATATAATGAGCCAGCGTGCAACCAGTTTCTGACCTACTGTGAGTTTCAAGACTTGATTCTAAATGAAGTCCAAGACTAAATAGTATTTAAAATGAACTTTAAATAGAATAATACTGTTCTCAATTTGGCATTCTCTCTATGACGTTTGCCTGCCTTGATAGAACCAATTTACTGCTATTTATTATATGTATGTTTTTATATATATTTGCATATGGACAGAAACACAGTATACAGCTTGTGTAATGTATGATCTAAACTCATGTAAAAAAAGAGCAGTTGCTCTGTTCTGCTAAACAGATACATTATATTTCCTTTTGCAAATCAGAGTTGCAATCTACTAATTTTTGCTTATTTCTCAGTGGATCATGAGACTGTGTCTCAAAGCCATCCACAGATTATTATATAGACTCTTTCAATTAAAAAACATATAAAGATCCACTGGAAGGTATTCGATTTCTTATGGATGGTCATTTCTAATTTATCATTGGTATAGTCTGGTTTTAATCCTTATAGATACTGTATGTGGTTACTGTGCACCCAGAAAGTGACATGTCAGTACCTTATTAGTAATTATATTTGTTTGTCAATTTTAATATCTTTGCAAAGTTAGAAAAAGAAAAAATGTATAAATATATCATGATCACTAATGTAACATCACAAAAAAGTTTGAACAATAATTTTAACATTAGGTACTTATCAATTAACTAATGAAATATGAGGTACATGCAGGTTTCTGTCTATGCCTTCACATTGTTTTTGAGCTTTTAATCCATTAAATATATGAACACTGCATAATACATTTAATTTATTTAGATATTTTTATATATTGTGCATGTTCCGTTCTAATAGAAAACCTGCAAGGACGGAAAACTAACATTGTCTTGTGTTCCTAACTGTCCTGCTACCACAATTCAATCAGGTTCTTTATTAACTGTAGCTCAATAAAACTAAGGATGAGCTCGAAGCAATTTTACTAACACTTAACTGAAAATAAATTGAACATATCCTGTGAACCTTAAAACAAATATTTAATGTAGTGCACATATCTATTAATGCTACAAATGTGTTAAGGAGTGCTTTACAGAAATTATTTCTTTAATGAAATACACAATCAAACAATTAACCCACAAAACATCTACCAATGTTAGATTTGACTGTCACTGAGATTGCCAGTGATAGCTTATGCTCCTTATCTTGTACAGTAGGCCGTTCTACAATTGCATTGTGTGCCAGAGTAAAATGTTTTATAACTGTGGTCATATTGAGCTTCACTAGGTGGATAAGTGCTTTTTATTTTTTCATATTGCTCAAAAGGTTTAAGTTTGTTTTTTTTTCACCAAGGATGTAGGTACATATGCTACAGTAGGTAATATGAGAAGCAGTAAAGAAACTTAAAAGCAAGGAAGAAAGTACATCTGATTCATGCTATGCAGTACAATTTGGAGTAAATATATACTGTACTATAAATACAAACAACAAAAACACCCAACAAACGTGTTGTAACAATAAAATACTATATTTTACAAATAATAACTGGTGTCCACATAGAAAATAAAATACGTCATTAATTTTATAGACCAACAGAAAGGATTTCTTTAATAACAAAGCAGCATTTGTGTAGATATGTTCAAATATTTAAGCTGTTTATATCAAATACAGTACAAAATACTTCTGTTTATTTCTCAAGAAAAGAAGACAGCTATGGATAATTACAGAAAAAAGTGTGGAAGTTTTTGGAAAGGTTAAGATGTCATGGGTATTTCATCTCAAATGATAACTCACTTAATTGTTCTTTCCAGTTAGAAATATAGGAACAACCCTGAAATTACTCATTCTCTTCCCCTTGATTAGCTGACCATATACAGCACAGTTTCTATGGGAACCACTGTTGGGAGGTGGAAACTATTAGCATCAGGGAGACTTACCCTGTGGTCTTTTTCAAGACGCTGCTTGTGCTGAAGGTTGCGTCTTCTCCTAGTCTTTGGAATGGCATTATGATAAAAATGGAAAAGTCCTTGTCCAAAAGAAAGCTGTGAAGAAAGGATAATAGGAGTTGTTTTTCTAATTACAACTATGTTAACTGCCCTTCTGTCAATAGCTCTCCCGCTCTCTATACTCTGAAGCATGTTTTAATTATACTACAAACGTATCCAAAGAAATCACCTTAGAATGGCTTAGGCACTCTATCAGGCTTTATATGTACAGGTAAGCAATAAAAATTAGACTCATGATAAAGCCGATATCAATTGTTAGGAAATTTGACAGTACCTGTACAATTCCGTTTAATTTTAAAACAGTGACATTTTTCTATAATTTAATTTAAAAATTAAAACCCACTGTAGCCAATAGCTTACTATATGTACAGTAAGACTCAAGCCATTTGTTACTCGATATACAATACAGAACAAACACATGGCCATTTCATATGCATTAACTTGTAAAAGAGCAGTGATCAAATCTTCACTCAATTAGGTTTCATTGGAATCAGTACTGAAGATACAGGAAGTGCATCAAATTGACATTAAAAGGGAAAGACATTTCTGATGTCTACATTCAGATTTAATTTGACATGTCTTCTCAAACAGAAGCCTAAACATTGCATCCCCCATTATTCTGTAATTTATTGTAATAATTACTCTTCAGATTTTTCATACAAATTGCTAGGTATACAGTCCAAAACCACATACCATTCATCATCTGGAAGCACAGCAACCTATTCCACACATTAACGCCTCTAGGTTTTGTCTCTGAAATTCAAATTATTTCACTTCTGTGCTTTGACACTGGTAATGGAAAACCCCTGGATCATAACATTAGGAGCATCTTCTTGTTCTTTTTGGGAAGTTTATTTTATTTAGATGGTTTTGAAGAAGGTAAAGCTCTGAGTCATGAACTCTGTCAGCAGTATCAGAGCAAGACTCTATTGCCAGATTTCATTTTAGGGCAGGCTTGGGACCGGCAAACAAAGACAGCCAAGCAAATCAAATAAAATTGTCCATCATGTCACCCCATTCCCTAAGCATTATCCTTCTTTAAAATTAAAATACATATATTTGATTATCAGGTTCCAGTAATTAACAAAAGTTACTGTATTTTTTCCTACATACATTTTGTTTATCTTTTAATAGACATTTTGAACTGAGGTATTCTGCATGGTGTTTCACTTATTTTTATATCAGCCTGAAGTGGATTCATCAATTTAAAGCAGCAAACTGACAGTTTGCAAGAAGAGACAGCAGTTCTATTTAATGCCATTTCTATTAGTTTGTTGCTTAAACAAGTAAACCATGTCATGCATGGACAAACTATTTCAAAGTATTCACTTCTTTCATGTTATGTCATTGAAAGAAACCATCGTTCACAAAGTAATATACATTCCACTTTTTCATCAAGAAAAAAAAAGCTTAAAGAATATTAATTTCCAACCTTCATGACTCATTAATTGATATGTTTTTCATATATCTTGATGTTTAAAACATGAATTCCCAAGCATCCAAAGTCCAACACTGCTCGATTTATTTTTAGATAGGTGCCTGTTAGAATGCAACAGCTCTTAAAGCATTTTTAAGACCTATAGAACATGTACAGGAAATATTTTGCTATCCTGTACAGTTCTATCAACCAGATGATTGTAAGATGTTTCAGAAAACACATTAAAACCAATATAAATGTACTAAAAGTGTTGAAAAAAGCTTTTTTATCATTTAATGCAATATCTGGACACTATGAAAATGTAAACATGAGTATCTTAAATTTAGGTGGACTTTACTGTTTTTTCAGGTGGGTAGCTGCGTCAGCACACACCTGAAGAAGGCTCCACGGCTGAAATGTTGTGTTTTTCTCTCTTCTTTTTTCAGCATGGAATAAACCTATTACTTGTTCCTTTGCAGTTTTTTTGCTGTTTTCTTTCATTTCTGTATGACTACAAATCTACCATTTGATGCTACTTGTTTCTATACTTGTATATGCTGTGTTTGAGATCATAGTGTTACAAAAAACACAACCTAATTCTAAAACCAAAACTGTATTATGGTTTTGAAAAAGAACCTGGTAAGAAATGATGCTTGGTATTCATGTCTCTCACATTTTTAAATACCATCCAAGTAATATCCGAGAAGATCATGATCAAATACCTGTTTGGACTGAACTGTTTATTAACCTGCCTAAAGTAGCTTATTCAAAGGGAATGCTAAAAATAAGGTAATTTTGTGGAAAAACCACAACAGAAGAGAATATCCTTTATTATAATGCACCACAGCTATCAATGACAATAAATTAGTTCATGAAGTCTTTTATGTTATAAAAATACATACTTTTCTTGATTTCCTTGCTATCTAGGTTGTATTATGTGGTACATGCTGTACTCAGAAAGTATGTTGTCCATGCCTTAAATTCTTGAAGGTATCCAGGTTAATGGAAAGTTCATAACTTCCTTTTTGAAAGACTAATTAGTTTTATCATTATTTTTTGCAATTGATAGCTTTTACTCCATGTTCTACTTTGAACATGGTATACAACTGTACATTATGCAATTTACTCTGTTTAATAATTTATAACTATTTCAATAAGAAAAGAAAATCATCTGAGATAGTACTTTGGTTACTTTGGTCCATCAACCTCATTATAGACTCAAGTATCGCATGCATGAGATAAACTGTATTAGATTATTATTCATTAGCCTGGCTATTATAATATCATCGGTTATTTTCATTTGGATCTATCCAACATTCTCTTCCTTCCCCATGCATTACTGAATTCCTAACTGTTCTTCATATTGTCAAATTAATTCTAATCCTAGAAGATGTAATAATAGTAATAATAATCGGTTTTGTATATTTGTAATTTAATGATAAATTTGTCGTAATCCTATCAGATTCTAATGTAGTCCCAGAGGGTGCCTTGAGTTTTCAATTATCTTATTGGATTCCAAAAAGTCCCACAGGATCCCTTAAAAACCTATTACACAAGAGACTCCGGCTCTCGTCGTCGGAACTAACAATAGGGAAATGCAATTCTTTTATTGGGTTTTTAACTGATGATTTTAATGGGTCATATAATAAATCACAAGGTGAATTGCCTTTATTTGCGTATGTGCAGATTGTAAAACAATGATAGGCATATCCCTAAAAAAGCGGATCAGCATATTCTAAACATATATTGTATACAACTCATTTATGTAATATTCATAGAAAAAACATATTCCTTTTGAATAAGATTGTAGGCTTATTTTAAATCTGAGAAAACTTTGTCTTTACGACTCGGCTTTGCTGTATAAACTTACATTAACCATTAACGTTTCTCAACTGCACATCAAACATTAGACGACGCCACATAGAATAGGTTAACCTAGGCTCGTCTCTTAACCTACAGTATGTTTTAAATCCGCTAGTATTTACGTTTTGCAATTGTGGATAAACATAAAAAAATATCCCTACACGGACTCAAAGTACTGTTTTATGGCTAAAATATATTTAGATTGTACACAGTCCTATTTATCAGCTCACTGCAGTTCAGTTTAGTTGTATTTAATCCAATAAATAGTGACATTTGCTGTGAAATGTGCAATTGGAACATGCTTAATAATTTAAGGGATATTTAAAGCATCATCATACCAACGCCACACGTACAGTGTATTGTATTTAATTACTGAAACATTTTCCCTTTCTGCCGGGGAAGCGCAGTTCAATGTGTTATACCCAACAGAATTCTTCCAGCATGCTGAAAGTATGCAGACGTACACAATATACAGTATCTGTGTAGGAGCCACTTGAGATATACAATTGAAGTTGAACTACAGTACAAGGGGATTGGGGTTTTAACATTCAATTGTTTCCTAAAATAAGAAAAACACAAAAATAAAGTAGAAACTTTTACTGTAGATGTTGGACGTCTGCATTGTAAAGACTAAGTAATGTCTGCTCGCAGTTGTATTTTGAGAATTTCTCTTACCTTTCGAACATTGTTAAAGCCGTGATCCGCCGCAACTTGACTGGCTACATCATGATCTCCTTCATGTAACTCTACCAAAAACTGATTGGTATAGACAGGCTTCTCTGTAGCTCCCTTTGCAACAATAATTGCATTAAGCAAAACCAAAACGACTGTAGTCCCATCTCGATTTAATCCAAGCATCATTTCTCGAGTGTGAATGTAGTGATGGAATTGAATTCTGCAAACGGGATGCTTTGCTTGCTATTGACTTGAATCAGCGTCTCTCGGGATGCATCTCGCTGCACAAGAAACAGCTGAAGTTGGATTGTCCGCCAGTGAAATGTTGATTATATGTAGGACCGTGTGCTTGTGTTTTGCACCAAATCTGCATTTTCAGCTTCCATTTCATCTATAATTCATCAGCACGTTCGTGAAGGGTTTCACTGAATGACGTTCTGCAGAATTTTGCCCAATAAGCTTGAGCGGGTGGGGCTGTTTAGTCCCCTAGCTCAAACGAAGCCTTCACTTGCAGATACCGCGTTGCGTCCTGTTTCAGCACCCTGGAGAATTCCTCCATTTCCTACAGAATACTGGTGGACTGCCCTGACTAAAAATACGGAGGAAACCCTAAATTAAATAGCGGTTACATAATTTTGTCTGGTTAGTAACAGAAACAGATGACTATAGTATATAATCTGTTGGTGGTTCCCCCTTCTCCCGCTAGAGATTTTTTTCTATAGAGGTTTACAGTATAAGCATGTTTGTATTAAAATGGGTCATTGGTTCTGCAGCGTTATCGGCATCTGTAAATATACTGTATACAGTAGACGGCATTGTTTCTTTGAGTTATCAACAGTTTTTTTTAAACATTTCAAGTTTGTTACTCTTAATTTCTAAGTGATTTAAAATGCACTATTTATTAAAGAAATCGAGACTACTTGATTATTGATAATAATAATATTAAAAATGGATCGTTTCAACATCAGTTTAGAGAGTCTTTACTATTATTATTATATGTTTATCCAAGACAATTAAAATACATCAAATGCTATTGTAAATGTGTGCATCCGTGTTGTCTTTATTCAGTTTCCCTCACAATAATCAAAGGTTGACTAACTTTATTAATATGTTTGAGCGGGAAAGGCGTCAATGTGCAATATAAGCTACAAAGGAATTAAAGTTACTTTCATAATGATGTATTTTGTTTTGCTTTGGCAATTTATGTATGCAATAAAATTAACAGAAAATATATCTTCATGGAAAAAGTAGTTATGTTTTGTTTTATTTACAGTCAAAACATTTAAACTTGTAAATGGATTTGTTAATGGTGATGAAAGTAAATTAAAAAACTATATTTAACACATTGAATTGGTAAACTGCAGATTGAATCACCAGCCAAATGTTTTAATGTTATTTTCCATTTCAATGAAATAGGATGTCTTTGGTGCTTGAGGGTTACAGTCTCTCCGGGTCTCCATTTTCTCTAGACTCTGACTTAACTATTTGGGCCATTGAAGTGTAAAGCGTTTTTCCTTATGTCAGACTTCTTGAAACTTTGTGGACTGGTGTTCTTCAGGCCTGATCAGCCTAGACCTTGTGCCTTCAGCTACAACTGTCACTCCTCAGATGGCAACCTGCAGTAACTATTCCAGTTAAACTACTCCACAGCACAATCGTGCCAGCTGAACAAATGCATTCCAGCTCTTTATGTACACTGAATGTGTACTTATATTTTTCCTTTGTTTTCCTTTGTTTATTAACTCCTGCTTTAAGGATAATAAAAAAATAAAAGTGTTTTTTCCAGTTTCTGACCTAATCTTTTTTAGTTTGCTCTAATTATAAAATAATATGAGACATTTGAAGGTAGACACGTTATGCTTTGTACAGTATGTACAGTACAATACATTGCATATATTATTCCTTTTTGCAACCATATCATTCATATATTTTATACATTGTACTTTTTTTAAAATACAAGCTTCCCTATTCATCTGGATATCCTTACAATCTTAGGTTTGTGGCTATTTGGTTATTAATCCAGGTGTTCTTATTTACCCATTTTTATATAGAGACGGCAGAGTGCCTTTGTGATGAAGAGGAATTTATTTTGTCACAAATCTACTGCTCTTTCAATCATTTACTTGTTCATGGCACAAAGCTTAAAGCAGATGAAAGCAGTTACTCTTCAAAGACTTCTGCAGTATTGGAATAGCTGAAGATGTCTTAACTATTGCTTCAAATACATGGCAAAAGATTGTTTGTCATTTCACATTTGATCTATTCATGAAAATAAAAGATAACATGCAGTATAAATCTGAACATCTATTATACTCTCACGGGTGTAATCTGTTTTGTGAAATCTCTTTCTGTTGCTTTTTCACCGGAGATGAAAATTATTGAGATGGGTGATAACATATCACAGTACATTTCTTCTCCCTGTTGTTTTTCAGAAATGTGATTATTACAACCGCTGACAGAAAAGATACATCTATCAGCCATCAGAGAGTATGAGAGGAATGAGAGACTTATAATGTATCTTCCAAAACAAGGGAAGTCTAAGTATATTTTTGCACCTTCTTATCTTAAATAAAAACTCAGATGCTGATGAATCACTGATGACACCAGAAGTACTTACACAATGCAGTACAAATAAAACAGTTTTCCATTTGTGCTCAATAGAAGAAAAAGATCTTACCCTTAATATGTTTTTTTTGTTTTGAACCTGTCACTACATTGCAAAACAAGAAAAACAGTGTAGACAGTCAGCAAAAAATCTTGGAAGAAATGGCCCACTATGCTACTGTGTGTGCTACACAATTACAGTACTCAGTCTATTAAATTCTCAGTCATCCTGGTACAGCTCTCACTAGCAGGAACAATTTATTTCTGGGAAGTATGAAAATAATTTTTTGTAGGTACAGTACATTCAAAAGTGTCTGTGAAAATTACAGCAGATGGATTTTTATGATGTTCCTCTTGTATATTTATTGATTACCCTTTCCTTAATTTTACTGTGACTCCTTTCCAATGTACAAAAATAATAATCTAAAGCTACCTTGTGCAACTTCCTTACTGCCTGTACTAGAATATTGTGGCCTTGATTATTGAAGAAGAATATCAAGCATCTAGAGTAAAATAAATGAGGTGTGTGCCTCTAACTGACTCCACATCCCCACATACTGTAGACACACAAAACATGCATAGAAAAGGACTAATTCATCTGAATCTAAATTATTCCAAATTGTATTAATGTACATACAGTATGTAATATAATTTGAGACATTAAGTTCCACGTGTAGCATGAATCCTCCCAAATGAGGTCTGCTTACAGGAAAGATGAAATCCCTACAATTAATTTTAGTGGCAGAATTAATCCACATTATAAGTGTCTGCATAAGATCTCCAGAAAGATAAATTGGAAATATACACTAGTTATCACAGTGTTCTCTTATAAGCTAAAAGAAACAACCCTGTTAACGTGGTAATGAGTATTACAGGGACGGTGCAGTTTGGACTATAATCTATATTCCTTTAAAGGGTTTTACCCAGCAAATCCCAGAGAAAAAAGTTAAATAGAGTCTCTTTGGACTGCATCAGACTTTTCAGAGTTCTTCTTGAAGAAAAGCCCACAGTTTGGAGCTTTTTAAGTATAATATTGAAAGGCAGTGGGGAAACACTAATTCTGTTCAGCTGATGGAGAAACAGAATGACACTGATCTACCCATTGCAAAGATGAAGTGGCAGTTCACTTGCACATGTTGCAAGGTCATCTTTAAAGGAATCTTAAAAGGAATTGTGTTGTTGGCTGTGTCCTGCTCCTGTTCTGCAATGGTGTTCTCATTCTGGAATCCAGTACCGTAACCACCCTTCCTCAGAAATAAGGATCCTTTCCAACCTGACCTCAGAGGGTAGAATAAAGAGGGACAAATCCTAAACTCACTGTGAGGATAATCACCTATTACTCCAAGATTCAGACATTCTAGGTCATGAGTATCTAAGACTTCTACATGATTCTTATTGTTGAGCTGTTCTGAATAATGCTTTGAGACATATTCCAAGTGTTAAAAAGTGAAAAGTTTAATTTGATTGAATTATATCATACAGACACAGTCATTTTAGATGACATAGACACCAGTAGCCTATTCCCTCATATTTTAATCTCCATCTAGAGACAAAAGGCTCTGTAAAAGCCTTTACAGGCCTTAACTGTGAGGAGGGTTTTGATTGCATTATATAAACGGATCACGATACAGTTACAGAGTAAAATGGACTGATATGAATCCAATTAAAATGGGAACAGGAGTTTAGACATAAATCACGTTTTTATTTAAAAAATGCTATGAATGATATCAACGATGTAGGAAAAAGGGACAGAAGGAAATCATATGATGCAAAAGGAAGGCAGGCAAGGTGAGCTCATACAAAGAATTGCCTTTTGACCTGAATTGAAGAAATGAAAATCAGCGAAGCAGAAGGTAAAAGATTATATAAACTGAGCCTGTTAAGTAAACAGAGGATTAGGAAGATCTAAGGAAAATACAACAGTATCAGGGTCATCTTTAAAATTCAATGATCAAATAGAACTTGATTGTTGTACCACATTCTATCTTGATTATCCATGTTAACACCTGTACAGAATTAAAATGTTTCATCTGAAGAAAAAACAATTCCACAAAAAAAATAACTAGACAAATGGCCTTTCTCGACATTTAACTATAAAAGGCATTCAACCCGAAGCAGATTAAGATGCAAATCTGCATTTACTGTATTGAACTTGATTTAAATTGTTTTGTTGTACCTGTGAATGAATGTAATGGGTAGTTTTGTGTCTGTGTATACAGTTCATTGCTTTTACCTTAGTCAAAAGAGTACAGTACATTGGTATGTTTTTGTTTGTGTAGATACAGTATAATATGTTTGTGGGAGTGTTATATTTGATCTTCTTGTTATTGATTGTCTCCTCCGCATATTCTTATAAATAGGGTAGATATATATAAAATCTATAACACTATCTAAATAGATCTTTTTAAATATCACTCCCCAAAACTATACCTAGTCTTCATTTGAAAAGTCTGAGTGAATACTTTCTTCTACAGTTTTCAGATCAATGATGACAGCAATTTGCTTTGTAAGACATGACTGTCCATTTAATGTAGCAGTTTGGATTTTGTCTCCAGCAAGTTCCAGAGAAGAAACATCATTTGAAAAACCACCTGTGTCTTGAACAGAACCAAGCTCATTATTTTGTAGGTCCTTTTCTTCCTGTGTATTTCCAACAGTTTCTGAATACCTTGGAGTGTCTGGCCAGGAAATACTCTGCTCTTGGATAGGTCCTCCTTTGCCTGTGGATGTAAAAATGTCAACATTGTTTAGAATGCTTCCTTAAAATACAAAACCATTGTTGTGTGTGCATGTGAAAATTGAGCAAACAATGTTTCTGATTTTAAATCAGGCATGTTTTTTTTTCTTAATACTGATGTAACAAACCGTAACTTTCTGAGACCAAAATAATAGAGAGCTTAATCCCAATTGAAATCATTGTCCATTGTCTATCCCAAACTTGAAAGGCAGCATTTGAAATCAAGAATAACACTGGGACATTAATAAGGGACATTTTGGGAATAGGAAAAGAGGAAAGCCATCAATAAAAGTAAGGATTTTTTTCTTTTGTTATGCCTTTGTCCCTTTAAGGAAATCACAACTTGTGTTCAGAAAATTAAAAATCTCACTGCAGGTTTGTGCAAGACAGCAGTGTGGAATTGATTTTAGGTTGATGCATGACCACAGAATCTGCATTAGTGAAACACACCAAGGTGCATTTACTGTAGATTGATGTTCATGAGATACTTTATGAAAGTCCAATGAAATCAAGGCCAAAGTGTTTTTGGATCCATGTCAGTATTTTAATAGTGTTTTCCCCATCCTTTTTAAGTAGCTTTTGTGAAGAAGCAAACAATATAAATGCCTGTGGCCTGAAAAATAAACCTTTGTTCACTTTTGAGCCTCACATCTGAGGAGGTTTAAATGAAACCTGCACACTGCAATAGAAGTGTACGGTCTCTTGGAACCCCTTGGAATTATTGTTTTCTCCATATGTTTTAAAATTGAGTTTCTTTTGTATGGTGTTTAGTATGTAAAAAATAATTTGTCTATATTCTATCTCCAGATATCATACAATTTAATTTGCTTTAATTAGCAGCCACAGAAATAAATCTTTGCTTAGTATCACCCACTTGTTAACAAAACACATATATCAATATATAGTAAACACAGTCACTCTAGCCTAGTTACAGCTTCCCTTGTTCTGTAGGGCTAAGTAACGTCTAAGTGATAGAGATATAATTTCCATGACAAACAGTGAACAGCTTACAAGTTTTATCTCTTTGCTTTCCAAACTGGCAACATTCTTTATACAAAGTCTAAAGGATTCCTGTTGCTCACACCAGTTGCTTTTCCATTGGTTTCTCAGAGTCACCCTTCTATTTCAGATGAGAATCAGACGTTTTATCAGCATCCTTTCTTTTTATAGATTGTTTTTTAAAAAGGCTTTTACTTTTATATATATATGTATGTATATTTTTAAAATGTTTTTACTGCTACCCAGATGTTATTTAACAGTGAGTAAAAGATGCCAAAATATATCATTAATAAATTCCTCACATTTATATAGTATCTTCTATACTGAAAAGCCCAGAACATTCTACAGTACATAATGGAGAGGAGTCACATTCTCCATCAAAAAGTTCTTGTTCTGTCTGTGCTTACCAGACTCCAATGCCAAGAAAAAAAACCCCACAAATACTAAACTGGAATATTTTAAATTTAAAAGTCTTGCATTCTAATTACTTTTTATACTGTGTTCCATCGTATTTGTTTTGAAGCACAGCCTTCACGTCGAGTACAATAGTCAATATAATTAGATTCAATATTTTCCTTTAATTACTTTGCTCCTAACTGCTTTTAAGTGGTATATTCTTTATAGAGAAATGAAGCCAATAAAAATCGATGGAACCTATACAATCTAATTTTACTTTATTAGTATTTTAACTGTAACAATTCAGTGGAAATGAAAATTTATTGCAGTTAAATCAACTTGAAAGTTGAATAATATCCTAAGTTTGTACATAAATTCGCAGTTAAACCTGTGATTATTTTTGCATGCATACAGTATGTGCTTTTGTGACTGTATTAATCTAAAACAAATTATACTGGCAATTTAACAAAATACTATATATGTATCAGAGAATAGCTTTAGTTGCCACCAGGTTTAAGGCAATAATTAACTATTATCAACCAGGGTTTGTTTTGGAGTTAACTGTAGGTTGCAGTTAGTTACAGTATGTTAAACATCAAGAAGAGAGTTGCTTTAAGCCATAGTCATAGTTAGAATTAGTTATTTGTATTTATTTATATGTGTATTTTAAGTAGTTATGTTAATAGTTTTTTTATTTTTATGTCCTATTTTTTTCTTGTACTAAAGTATTTTTGTGCAAGGTATTGAGCAAAAATATCCCGGTTCCCAAAAGATTAAATTAAAAAATTAAATGTCACACTGTGAACTTTTCTGTTCTAGTGCCACCTTAATGAAGGCTCAACGATGAGAGTTAATCTACATGATTATGAAAATGGATTTCTGGGCCTCATTTTAAATTTGCTCTACACGATACCCATTTCAACCTGTCCTTTAATCATGAAACTAAGCAAATATCAATATTAATCACAATGGAGTTTACAAGGGAAGGAATAAATTACTTTTGGGATGACAGAAAAATCTAGAGCATGGAATACTAGTTTAATTCCTTTCCAAAAAGCAATGGTTAGACTTTTTATTGGAAAGGACTTTTTAAAAGAAAAGACATCATAGTATGTTCATCTACCATATTCACATCTATACTGTATATACTGTAGACAAGGTATGTATATAAAATACATTTCCCTCCAAATGTATCATGCCCATGATGATATTGGGAAAATAAACTTCAAACAACAGAATGATAACAGATAAGATAACTAGATATTTCTTGCCTTAAATAAAGTCCATAACTACATGATTTGTTTGTTTCTATTTTATTGTGGGTATGATTAGAGAACATTATATATACTTTTCAATTCACTACGCTATAGATGTCAAGTCAGATTAAAGTATATTTTAATAAGTCTTAAGTGATCAAATCTAAGCTATATAAAACTATTCAACACTTCATGACTGAAAAAATTATAAACTATTGGACTACATCATTGCAAAAAAACATCTTTAACTGTTACTGAAACAGAAACATCAAAACTGAAAAAAATCATCATCCATAGAAAAACCTTTAACACAATTCTCTTCTGTCACAATTCTAATTTCTGTCACAAACGTGTTTACTTTCAAAGCACATTTTCTATGATTTCTCCCTTTCTTTGATAATGACTGATATGCTTAGAGCATGTCTCCAAGTTATACAACACAAAGACCTTTTTGTATTCTAAATACTGCCAAGATCAAGTTAATAATCCATTTGTTCTAGGTCATTTCAGATACAGTATTTCTCTGTAAACCCAATAAAAACACTGTAACAGTGTTTAACTTTAAACAACAATGTTTATTTACAGTAAATGCTTTATATAAGAAAGCCTTGCACTGCAAATAAGTTTGACAAAATCAATAAATGAAGGATTGAAATTTGTCTTCATTCTATCGTATTTAACAGTTATTGATTGAACTCAAAAGCATTGATGCTTGTTTAAATTACTTTTATTTAACTCTCTAGCACCACAAACCTGCAGAGCAATTTCCACCTGGAATAAGGTCCCGTCAAACATTTCGTAATGTATCTGGAAGTACAGTAGAGGCCTAGTTTGGGGCTTAAGTTCAAGCTAAGTAGCTCACACAGAACCAACTTTAGGTACGTTTGCACTTTGTTTTTCCAGTTATTACATTTAAGAAGCTAGACGCAGCACAACAGAGAATACACAGAGCAAATTTTGCACGAGAGCAAATGTTGTTAATGTTGTCCTACTAGAAGTATTGGAAATCAACTGCTGTATATTAATGAAATGTTCCAGGGTCAATTTACACAGAAATACATTATATATTTTCATGACAATCCACCAGTTTGATAATAACTCATTCATGCTACAGTAGGTTACTGACTCCTACTGTGAATTCAGAAGAGGCTCTGAGGTTCATGGCACAGACTCTGGAATTCCTGGAACTCATGGGACACACAAGGTATCAGATGAAGTTGCTGCAATGTTGATAGTGCTGTGGTGCAGCTAGAAAATTATGTTCTTATCCTTCTTAAAGATGAACTGCACAAACACTGAAACAATAACAGAATCTGCCAGAAGAAGCCTTCTCCATGTTGCTGTCTTGGTGTTAAAATAACATCAAAGCTTCCTATGAGCAGAAATCAATGCGTTTGATTAAAGCTGATACTACAGTACACGTCAGCTTTTCAAATGAAGGGTTCCTTTCACTATGCATCTGCAATTTTACAATATTGCATTTAGTTTCCCTGGTTTCACCCCTATATTTTATGTCCCAACAAGGCCCATTTCATGCAAATGATTACAAATACTATTGCAGCTTTATATATATTGATTTTTATTTGTGTGACAGAAAAGTGCAGTCCAACATGTTTGGAGTTTACAGTCACAATTGAAATCAATTGAAAGCCACTTTATATACTGTATGGTCTTGCAACAGCCCTTTGTTACGATAGACTACCTTCCGATAAAATCTTTTCCCCCCACTATTTCCAATAAGTCTACTCTGAGTGTCTATATATAAGTCTAATAATTATATTACAACATTCTATTTTCACTTTAGAAATGTCGCAGCAGGAAAGCACAGTGTTTAAAAAACAAATAACAGAGACGTAAGTAAAAACTGTTGTGGTAATGTGGCAGTAGGGATCAAGCAGACATTGCAATAAAACATTGCTACTTTCATTAATGTTCAAAATATGTATTATTAAAATGTGTGTTATGCATAAGCATCTTTCTTTGGTTAAATGTGAATCTTTTCTATGAAACAGGAGAAGCCGAGATAGTATTATCCTCTAAGTCAGGGGTTCCCAACCTTTTTTGTCAGCTGAACCCCTTCAACCTAAATTATTTGCCTCAAAGTACCCCTTTGAGATTTTAACTAAATCACAACCTTTCAATAAATGTAGATAAATGCTACAGCAACCCTCTTAACATGCTTCTTTTCACTTCGTAAAATATTGATACTGCTTCTGTTGTTTTCTTATTCTTATCATTACATTGTGATTTACTAATAGGACTATTTAATTTAACATTGACGTTTCCATCACAATCTCTCGAACCCCCTGCAGTACCATCATGAACCCCTAGGTTTGCGAATCCCTGGTTGGGAAGTAATAGTCTATAAAATCTTATAGCCTGTTTGAAAGTCAAGACCAGTATCTACTGTATTCAGGGAAATCCATGATATTGTGTAAAGCAGGTGCTCAAGAGAACCTGCAACACCATTCGCAACATTTGTTGTTTCTAACTGTTTAGAATGTATTAAAAAATTTAGAAGAAAACACAAATGTAAATTTACCTTTGATCTAATCACTTACAGTACCAGTAGCATTTCATTTCCAATCAATGGACAGAAAAAGCCATACGGTATAGATGCCTACAGTACCTTACCAATGAAGTCTATTAATTGCTGTTAATCTACATACTAAGAACAAAGAATAGGAAAGTGATATACCATATAAGCAGCAAAATAGATGGCTTTTCATATTGAATTTTTTATCTGTCAGAAACATTTCCTTTTAAGATTGAAAGCCGTGTCAGTGTTGACCTTTCAGAAATTAGGACTTTGTTGTTGTGAAGTTCCAGATGCTATTTAAAGACAGTCCCTTTGATTTATTTTTACCTCCAGATTCAATAGCTTTTAAGAAACCTAAGTTACAAGAATTCAGAGACAGACACTTTGTGTTGTGTACTTTCCCCTACTGTTGTTTGAATTCAATTTAGGTTTTGAAAATATTATAGTACTTCCCAGCTCCCACCCACGGCGTTCTCATTTAAACTTTTAAAAATGTGTGATGAAAAAGCTTCTTGGTCTTCACTGCAAGTCAGAGTCTCAAAGAAAAATCTACACGCACTGTTATGATCTATTAGTGATGAATACATGCTTTTTCTTGACAGGGGTGAAAAACAACCTCGAATGAAATAGAAAATAGAATGTTTTCTTTTCTGTTACAGAAATCAATACAAAATTGGAAAAAAAATGTATTCAGGCATACTGTTAAGAATGAGATTGTTCATATTGTTTATGAAATAATTTGCAGTTAGGACTACTGTACATACAGTACTCAGAAAACCACGTTTCATAAGAGCTGCTAATCTAATAAATGGCTATAATATTAACTTTAGCACTTAACAATAATAAAAACACCATTTACTAGTTTTTCCACAATTGTGTACATTTCCAATAAGAAGAAATATGAATACAACTGAAACAAAAAACATTTTAAGAAAAGCCAAAACACATATTCCTTTTACTTTTGAACATACAGTACAATATATAGAAACAACTCACAACTGCAACTTACTACTGTTTTCAACAGCAGTATACTGTATACAGCGAAGAAAACAGTACACTTGCATTGTGCTGCTCTTTCTGTAAAAAGGAAAGTTACAACTGATTACAATTGCTTCCCTAATAGAGTTTATAATTAAACCATTAATACACTTGAGTTTTGCTCTTAGGCTTACCTATAAATAGCCATTTCTAACAATGTGCGATCAATGAGGAAATTTGCATTCTGTTCACTTCGAATTGAAGACATTAAAAGATAATTTGTTCAATTGTGAGTAACGACTAAAGTAATTTTGGTTTTAATTAAATGAGGTTCTAATAGGCTAAAAGGCTGACCTCTATCACGTTATTAAAGAATGCAGTTGTTGCGTAGTGTGTCCTGCAGGCCAAGTGGACTGTCATCAGCATCACATTAAGGGACTGACAAATTTGCTATCCAGCTGGGCTACTGAAGTGATTACCCAGACCTGACACACTTGTTTTTGAAAATGCAGAACAAATGGTATAACTTTTATCCAGGGCTGGGACCGTGAAGACCAATTGTCCTCCAGTATTTATTCCATCTTTGATCTTAATTAATTAATTGAGCTAATAATTTGAATAAGAAGTCCAATCACTTGTATTTTACATCTAAATCAGCTCATAATTAAAAAATACAGTACCTGCAGGGCGGCATCTCTAATGAATCACTTACCTATACCGGCTTTAATCCTTGGTGGGTTATTTTCTTATAATTTTCTTTGTTCATGTGTTATGCAATAAGACAAAACAAGCCTCAAACTCACATTTCATGACATCTTTACATCTGGCTCTTGTAGGAAGTGTTCTTGTATTTCGATTTTCGTTGGTTGTGTTGTCTTCACACACCTATTTTGGAGAAAATATATATACCGTATACAGTAGCTTAGTTAAAAAGAAAAAAGCTATGGATACCTAATGGTGAAAATCAGTATATTTTTTGTATAATTCTCATAAATTCAAATATACATACATATATGAATATATGCAAATACATTCATACAGATATACAGTATGCCTATATACTGTATGCCTGCTAAATATCTTGTGCATTTGTGTTTTAATATAACAGGTGTAAATTTTTGTTTTATTCTGTTCGCTATACATCTTAAAATTGTGCTCATGCTATTGCAAAGATATACATAATATGGTCCAATCAATCTTTATTAAGAGTCTCTGAATTACAATAGTTTAAACCACATGCATTTCATGTCATGAATTTTAATTTTTCAGAATACAAACAGGCAAATAGAATAATGATGATTTCATTACCTGTTAAACGTATTGTTGCTGTTTTCTCTACGTAATTTCCATCTTCCTCTTTGGTTTAACATAATGTTTAAGCATTGAAAGACAACCAGTGCCTTTAAGGAGTGTCTGTGTTTTAGTTTATAACAGAGGATGCATGGGTTTTAAACTGCTAAAACAACCATTTCTAATATTTTACAAACTACTTACTTTTTTATATTATTACTTCAGTTTATATAGTCTGTTACATGATATGAAATAACATTTTACAAGTCTTTATGTTGGAAATTTAAAAAGTAACTAATATTATTCTGAAAACAGCCACAGGACCACAGCTCACCTGTCTGAGACTCTCATACCCATTGGATCTTCGTTTTAGCTCCAGTGATGTAGATACAAGACTTACTGGCACTGAGGATACAGCAACTGGCTTTTTGTTGCCTGGGAAACAAGTGTACCCTAAAAATAAAACATTGTTCAGACCTTGCAACAAATTCACATCTCTTTTTCAACAATTCAATTTTTCAGTTTTCTCAGCCTTTATTTACAATAACAATATCCCCTGAATTGTTTCAGACTATCAGGTTCACATACAGTATGTGCTGATGTATGAACTGTAGCATTCCTTCTTCCTCCTGTGGATAATCACTGCTATTAAAAGAACTTTGATCCAAAGATTATTTTTTGAGGGAAAAAACTGCAAATGTTGTTTGACTTGTATAGAAATCACTACAGGCAGTTTAAGATTAAATTTAATAAATGTTTGGTCATAAATGTCCTTTTGTAACATCTATAACACTAAAACTAATGTTCTTAATGACCCATGCAGAGTAAGATAGAATCTTTGGCTTTCTTGAGATCTATAGTAGGTCTAGGATATAATGCCCTGTGGGTTGTTCCATTATCTTCCTGACTTTAATCTCTGCTCTAAGACTTTGAAAATTCATTTAGTGTTTTACATGTCTCTACAAAAGATAGATGTAATACACTGATAATTCTGCTAATCAAATTGTATGGCCCCAATACAATAAAGCAGGCAGCACTGTACATTGAGAAGAGTTGTAGTGACCAATACAATAAGATCAATACAATGATGCATTTATCCTATTAGTCACATGAGCTACACATAAGCGGACTTCTCTCCATGTGTACTGATTTTATTAATCAATTATTTTAATGGTAGTGAGATTATAACTGGTCCTTTCTCTGCATCTTGAGATGGTTTTTAAGCTTTGCTGTCTAAACATATGAGAAGGTAAAGTGATAAAGCTTGCCAGATGAACTTCACCTTCATCTGTGCATTTAGTTCCATCAGCTTGTTTGCCTGTAATTTAAGTATTGCATGAACATTTTCAGTTGGACTCAAAAAAGCTAAAATCAATAAAACGTTAAGGAGTACTGCGTATTCAGGTGAAATTAAACTTACCCATTATATTCGCAAAATGAAACATCTGTGAGCAAAATTAAATACAACAGCTTGAAACTAGTTATTATACAATACAAGAATCCAGGCCACTAGAAAGCCTGCAGCAATACAACCTTGAATATAAGCTGTCATGTAAAATATAGAACACCAGGACTAACTGAACTAATTTGAGCCTAGCACAGAGCACTAACAACTGATCTGTCACTTTTTTATCAGCTGCAGTGCAGTGCACTTCATTTATATTCAAGATTTCAACACCAAGACAAGTCTGTGGGATGTTAACACTATTCTCAATAAATTTAGTGAGAGACATAATTCCAGTGGCCTGTCTGAAATAACTGGTGTAGTTATTCAACAGCTCTGAGGAAGATAGCATACCCTATGAGAAGAATCCAACATCTGCAGTGCAAGCCAGAAATGTCACCTACTGTAATACCATCTATAAAATTCAATTTTCAAACATCAGACAGGACAAATGCCTTTTTTTAAAGAACAGGGTAATGTAAGCTGTAATAAACTGGATAATTCTTGTGATTACAGTCCTCTTAAATAGAAACCTCTGCATTTTGATGTGAGAAAAAATATTTTTCAGGGCATCTGGTGTTTGTGAATCACGCTGTATTGCACCACACAGTTGAATGAGGCAGCTTTTGAGTGCATCCATGTTACACATTTCATAGTGACCTTTCAAATTTATTATTCTGCTTACGAGCAGAAACAATGGAAAAAATAGAGGGAGACCTGGCCTCTGGTGACTGGATTTTTTAAGAAACAATATCTTTACAGTATATAATGTTTTCCCACTCTGTATTTTGGAGATTTGTGAAAATGCATATACTGTACAGTACATCTCATAACTAATTAACTACAGTTACAATTATATTAACTCATAGAGATGATGAAGAAATAAAAAAATTCTTAAGGTTTACTTCATTACATAAATTGATTTTTCAGCACTTTTTCATCTTATCAAAAACCTTTCAGACCAAACCATTTTTTTGTGATGCATATTTAATAATAATCAATAATCAATGTCACATGTCTTAGCTAATATGCTCATCCTTTGGTACAGTATATGGTGTCTAATGGCTTTCTTAAAAGTCATTATAATAGAAATAATTACTTAATCGGCATTATGTTATTTGGATTTGAGTTGATAGAAAACCCATACCTCACAGCGTATTTAATAGACTAAAGCTCTTGTTTTGGTTAAGCACTGAGCCTTAGTCTCTAAAACTTCTGAAACAGGAAAGCCATCAAATGAGGCAATAAAAAACCATAAGATGTTTCACATTTCTTCTGTAAGATTATAACTGTTCTTCACCTTTGCTTCCAACTACCGGCAGGACAGTGCCAAGTCATAAGGCCCATTTCACCTCATTTATTCTGCTATCCAGTTTTCAGTATCATCTAATTTTTACAATCTGTCATTTCAGCCAAGTTGCTCTAACTATGGTCTGTATTAAATCAGCTCTTCAATCAACCTACCAATCACATTTTATAGACCTGATATTTGGTGGTGGTTTGTTATTTTACAGAAGGTTATTACTTCAATCAAAACCCACTATCAAGTACTGATCTTGTAATTTGCAATTGGCAGGAGTGTGAGTGGATTGATGTAATCCAGGCCAGTGTGCATGGAAAAAAAGAAACTGTCCTGTGTTTCCACCTTTGTGCAGAGCCAGCACGGGGCTCTCCCATTCATCTCAGTCTGTCCATCATGTAGGCTTTTTCTCTGGTTTTTGTCCTTGTGGAAGAGCTGAGGTACAATTTACTTGTTTTTAATATCAACATGTTGTGCACCTTAAATGAAATCAATGCTAGGTCACCCTCAATGGTAATACAAATTATTATCAATGGTAACATTTTTTATGTTTTATTTTTCTACAGAGTTTCACAAGAAAAACATTCAGAATTCCATAGAGGTTTCAGATAGACAATCAAAAATAGCTCATCCCCAGGCCCCCTATCCACAGCAGTCAAAGGAATATGATTAAATCTGTTCAGGACTCATCAGATGATGTGCTTGGAAGGTCTTTTTGCTTTCCGAGTTTATTCCTCCTGTATTTCTCCATTTTATACCAGGCTCTTTAGGTACACAACAAGAGATCATCAGAACATCACAATCCATAGTACAAGGCTCTCCATTTGTTTTCAGTAAGCAACATGTGGCTCTTTTCAAATTATTGGCTCTTGACAACTCTGGTTTGCATTATACAGTACTTTCACATTGCTTACCAAACAATTCAGGTCTGTAATTTATTTAAGGAAAAATGTTTGCACTACAATTCCATACTTGACATGGTATCATGGTGGCTAACACTACTACTTAATTCTCCTGTGGCTTTGGATTCACCGGTTTGGACTAGCTATCTGTGTGAATTTTGCATTTGTTTCCTTCCACATACTGTACTGTACCAAAGGCATGCAGGTTACTGGTACTGGGCTATGGAAATATAGAGAAAAGCAACAAATGAACAGTATTGGCCATATGGCCCAAAATAAATGTCTGTCATTACTTTAAGTGGCACAGTATTAAAGAAACATGAGACTGGATAGGATAATACAACCTGCTTATTCATTGCAAGTTAACCTTCCAGCGGTGTTGATAATCATTTATAAATCTATACAAATAACTTAATTTAAACTACATTATTGTGGTAAAATTAGTACACATTGTTAACACTATATGTTAACTTTTGTGTAAGGAGTTCAGAAGACTAACATTGCTGCACCACAGCAACATCTCAGTCAGAAGGATAGAGATTCATTCTTCTATTTGTTCCATTTGGTGAGTTCTTTAATTAACAAAAATAGTTGTTGAAGGAAATTAATTAGTTCCCTTTCCAGGTAGCAAGAGATAAAAGAAAAGCAAGGCAGACTCCTGGAAAATGCTGTCAAAAAGAGTGAAACACATTACATTATGACTCCCTTATTTCTTAGAATAATGTTATGTTCACTGATTAAGACGGAGAACAGTAAAAAGTAAACTTTCGAGATAAAATTCTCAATTATAAATGATTCCCAAATAACAGGAGCTAAAACTGCAGGTCATAAAGTAGATGGTACTATCCTAATGTAATGTTCTTTTTCCTCTTCAGTCTCTTCAATTTCAATACAAGGCAAAATTCTTTAAATATATTATATTTATTATATATTATTGTTATTCCAAGCACGTTTAAAGCAAGCACTTACTAATTGGCAATAACACAAAACAGAAACACAAAAAAAGGCATAAGAGTGGAAGCTTAATTACTTTGGGGAGATGAAATCCATCCAATTCATTCAACAAACTTCATTAACATTTTAAAGAAGTGCACTGTTTGTACCTAATGAATGAACTGCAGGTGAAAACCAGGGTAAAACATGGGGCAGGGGGCTGATCTTCAAAGGGACTACAAACATAAAAATGAAATAAATCCACAATATTTATTCTTATAAATATTTAAAAGGCAAGTTCCTTTGTGACACTCTCTTGCACCTTCACAAAATGGTAAAGAAAACAATGAGTTATTTTTAAAACTGCAGTCCTCCTGCAAATTCTATTTTCAGCTGTACTTTTGGCAGCAGTGAACAGCATTGGTGTGAAACTCCAATAATTAGTAAATGAATACACATCTCTATTTACAGCCAACAGGGCATCACTGTGTCTCTGAAGTGGTATTAAAACTATTATAAAATATCCATCACATGCAGAGTTCAAATATAGAGTCATCTCTCTAAACTTTAATTGCTACGCTTTTTATTCTAATTAGACTCATACGCTGGATGGGGTCTTAGCTGCTATACTGTGGGAGGTGATGACTCAGTGTGCATTTTATATTTGCAGACTACAATAAAAATGCTGCTTTGCCTAGCAAAGTATATGAAATATGTTTATATAATGCAGTTTCTATTTTCCAAAGGTCTTGTTGTTTAGTTTTCTGTCAATACCGCAACAGCACATTAGAAGTATGGGGGAGATGCAGATTACCACACAGACCAAACCATACCAAAAAAAATTACCCTTTAGCTAGGAAATGTGACATTACAAAGGGTAAAACTTGTAAAATAACTTTCCCACAACAGAAAATAAATAAATTCCTTTCTTTCAGTGTACAGACATTCACATTTTTGAAGGCTTTATTTTAATAAATCAGGTTTCATTTCACTTTTTCAAGAAACTGCAACTTAAAAACAACCGGCCCTACACATCCTTCAAGACCACAAATGCTGTAGAAGCTGCTAAGTAAATTAATTGAAAATGTGGGAGTAAATTGTATTTCAGATTGGGAGCAGCAAATCACTCTTTTGTCTCTGCCCATGTCAGAGCACTTCACTTAAAACCTTACCCTGCCGCCCTGCGAGTCTCCCTCTCTCCATGGAGACTGCTGCGCGGGGGAGAAATGTGGGCATGATGCCAACACTCACTGATGGCAGGAGAAATTGGTTATTAGCAGATGTCAACCAGCACGAGGTTTCAAAACCAACAGACTGGCCCAGCCTTTTAGGCTCTGGATGTATTTGTAGATTCCTGTCAAGGCAAAAACAAAAAATTGAGATCCAGAGAAGAGTTCAGGGGAGTAAACAGACTTCAAAAACAAGTTTCAAAAACAAGGGAAGAGGGGATAGTGGGGGAGGGGGTTGTACACATTCAAAAAGAAGTCTGTGGGTCGCTGGTTTAAAAAACATTATCCTGGAGACTTCAAAGTACAGTTCAAGCTGACTTGAAAAAAACGGAATCCTTTTGCTAATGCAGGGACACATTACCTAGGTACACCAACCCACTTCAAAAAAATAAAACACCTCAGATATTTTTCCTCTGTAATGCTGAACAATGATTGTAGTAAACCTCATGGTCTAACCTTTTTTTTAGAAAGGTACAATGCTACTAGTTCCATTTTTGGGGGGAAATATTCTTTTATAACCAGACTGATAATGTGGTGACCTTCTTGTATTTATTTTGCTCCCTTGGGTTTTCAAGAGCACACAGATCCCTTTGTCAAGTGACAGGTTTTCAATGCAAGTGGTTTGATCTTTGAGCTTACAACATGGGTGCTAAAAGAACAGCCTGAGTCCTTGTGCTATACTTAGACAAAAAAAAAAACATTTATTTCTAGAGCTACTGTACATGTCCTTTCAGTTCAGCTATTTTGCATTGTACTGTTGGTCTCAGGGCATGGAATTCATTAAGTGAATATAATGTAAGATTAAGAACACAATAGCCACTTTTCATTAGAAGGTCAGTTGAAACTTCTAAAAAAAGTTGTTTTTCTTACTGTATTGAGAGGACATGATGAGATCCATGTGATTGCTTCTGCTGTGCTTTGCACAGCGTTTCATTACATATGACCTGAAGTGATGAGAAAGAAATGAGAAATGTTATTTAACACTGGTATTGAGCATTAAAGAGAGCAAAATATACTGAAGCAGTCGTTCCATTTTTAATCTTTTCAAATGAACTCGCCTAACTACTTTTATCAATACAGCCATTATGTCTTTCACACATGTAGGTCATCTGTAATTAAGATGCAACTGCAGCAATTAGTGTTTGGTGATGAATAGTGGGGAACGCACTATACAGTATGTCCTTATATTCTTAAAAACCTGAACACTTTGAGGTTAGAAGAGAATTAAACCAGTAAATATAAAAAATATTGAAACAGATTTTTTCAGCATAATTCAACTTATTAGTCACTGCTTTTATTTTGTCCCTTCATATATTATTTCCTTGCTTTTCTTCATGAAAATGTAATTTAGACAGCCCTTATGGCATACCCAGTGCAGTAATATTCCTCCTGTTTTGTCCCAGTGGAAATCATTTGGTCTCATTTTCAAGTCTCCTGCTTCAGGCTGAATTTTCTAGAATAGTAACCGTTTCTGAAGTCATCACATTTCCTCAAATAACCCAGATACTGAATAATGCAGGGCTCAGTCTTGCATTTTCTTTACAAAATACTTTATTTCTTAAGCTACTAAAAGAAGAGGCTTATGTATTAGTTAGTAATAATATTACAAGATGTATAATATTTTTCTAGTTTTATCAATCAGGTCAGGTTTCAGCTTTACTCCCAGACATCTGACGTTCATGTTCACAATGTTGTAATGGTGTTTTTATCACCTCTGTGGCAGCGCTTGGTCGTCTATTCCACTTCAGATCTTGTATGTCAGTTATTGCTTTCAAACTCTGTCATAAAACTGACTTTTATATACTAGTTTTTAATTGTGTTTTGTTTTAGTTTATTGATTTGCATATACTGTACCTGTCTCAGCTTCTTTTATCTTGTTGTTTTTTTTAACTCCATGAGCTGATGTGAAACGAAAGGAGCTAATGGATTATATTATTTTTTAACTCTTATTTTATATTACATTTCTCTCTGTTTCTTACGTACAGTACATACACATGAGTAGATACAGTGTTAACAAAGAGACCTAAACTGGCATTCATGTTTGAGATTCACATACCTGCTCTCTGAGTTTTGTGGGCATTGTTTTCAGGACTACAGTATCCAATCCTCCTGCTTTGGTGGTAGAGGACTTGAGAGAGGGGTCTTTTGCTCTGAATTTCCTTGAACAGCCTTGGAGGGCACACCATTTCACCACCCTCTCCTGAAAGCTCAGCTCTTTCCCAGATGGCAGAGCATACTCCCTCAGAATCTTCCTGTAACAAATACTTTCAAGATCATTTCTTGAAAAAAAAAATCATTACCAAGCTTAGCAGGACTGATAAAATATTATCTGAGTCTAACCTGAAGAAATAATAGCTTTGGACAAATATAATTTATAACGGATAAAGTAGGTGCTTTAATTACTAACTAGAATGATACAAGTATGTAAACATGTGCAATTATTGACTTCTTTAACTTAAGAAATTTAGAACTGAAATAATCAAGGTAGCTTACTGGTGTGAGAATACATTAGCTCTGTTTGAATCTTGACTAAAACACCGCAAAACACAGAGGAACAATCGCTTTTAATGTATTCAATGAAGCATCTTTATTATTATACTTCATTTGAGTAAATGTCACTACAAATCTTAAATCTTAAGCATTCAAACTGATGTAAATATGACTGATGTAAATGTCATGTTGGTAGTGTACATTAAGGAAAGGCTTTACAACAACAGTTAACGCCATGCACTAGATTGCAATACTTTCCATTTTAAAATTAGATTAGTGCTAATGTTAATGGTATCTCAGTTCTTCCGCACATATGTCAGCATTTATTCTTTAATAAAGCAGCACCTGAGCTGGCAAAGAACAGACTCCATTAGAAAAGCAAATATTTTTTTTTTAACGGAAAGGTATGAACATGTCTCTTAAGAAGCATTTGAAGTAATGCAAATAAGCTCTTTAGAAGGATATTTATTTTTAAGAGCAGTGCACGCATCATTACAGCAGAAATGAAAAGAGGGAAAAAGCCCAAGGAGAAAAAAGCATTGGATATGCTTGGAGTCAAATTCTTTGTTATTTGAAGATTAGACATACAGTGGATGTGTAACTGACGTCAGTGGAACAATGAAGCTCTAAAAATAAAAAGTGATTATTTGGGAAGTGAACTGGGTATTGGAGCAGAGGAGTGCATTATGTACCTTTAAAGTTCAGGGGCTTTAAAATTAATTTGATTGCGCTCAGTAATGCTCACCAGTCAGGTAATCACTATTTTAATATAACTTTCACAAACTAGGCCCTGCATGACCACCCGATCATTTCCTCTTTCCTCAGCATTTTCATTACATTATATTGTTTTATTTTATAGCATAAAATTAATGGTGAATTTCTGCCAATTAAAGGTGATCATAGCTTATTAAAGCTGACTAAATACAGCAGTTCAGTTACTTTTATTTTCATTTTACTTGGCAGTTTCTTAATGAGTTTTTTAACCTTGTAGGGAAAATAAATGTAAAAAGTAGGCAGCTGTGAGTATACAAGTAAAAAGTTCAAATTGTCATAAACACAAGGAAAGATTGTTTTATTTAAATGAAAGTTAAGATTACGTTATTGGAGCAGTCTGGAGTATTTCAAGTTCACACCTTCTATCCAGGAAGGCTCCCTTAAGACAGTGCTTGTATTTCAGTTGATAGCATTACTACTACACAGGTATTTGTGCATGTTTCAGTATCAAAAACTATATCTGGACAGCATTCAAAGAGCCATACACTAGACTTCTGAGGTGTCTCTAATTTAAAGTGGGATACCACTTATAAACTTTGTAGACATGGTTCAGAGGCTAACATATACCCCTATAAGCCAGCTCTGCTTTGTCTCACACAGTATGTAGCTATGGAAAGACAAATAGCACCATTGTTTGCCTGGCTAAATAAGCTTTTTAACAACTGTCCGTTTTCAATACATTCAGAATTACCGTACTAACCTTTAAAGGCCTAGTTTGCTTACAGGCTGCTCTTTCTCAATTGTCATGGAGAAACTGTTCATGGATTGTTCATGGATTAACAGCTCCCTCTGATTTAGCACAACAAAATGTGTGAAAATCAAGTTACAAAGATAGCCTTTCACTGAAATCCCATTAGATACAGAAATGATACAGAAGGTTTCTGACATCTGCTTAGCATGCTATTCTGAAATTCAAGCACCACACTAATTCACGCTGTGACAGCCCAGCCATATACTGTATAATAAGCTGCATAGTATACAGTAATAAGATTGTATCTGGAATAACATTATATTTTCTTATATATTGTATTGTATGTACATCATGATTAAGACAGAGACTTTTGTGGCATGTAAGCATTTAAATTTATTTAGTCTGAATCAAATTCTAGGTTGCCAGTTTAGTATATATTTAATCATGATTCAATGATTATAGAACTATAGTTATTGAAATATTTGAATATATGCCAAGAAATTAAAATAAAGATAATACTGCATAAGCTAATGATGCAAAACACAGAAGATGTATGAGGCAATAGGGCAATAACAACTACACTAGAGATGTCAGATTAATAAAAAAAGCATACATAAATTGTTTTTTAAGCTTTGGATACAGTGAAATTAACAAGTGTTTTTAATATTTGAAACTTCAAATTCAGGGACGTTTATTATTTTTGTTGTAATTCATTGAAACGCTTGGTATAATTTGACACTTCATAGGGTGATGTCATAGGTTTAGCGCTATGTAGTGTTAAATCCTAAAATTAAAAAGTTCACCATACAAAACATCATAAGTCAAGTAACCCTTCAAAGACAAATCTTGAGTGTACCTTTAAGTTAGGGAAATGTTTTTTTTTAATCTTTGTTATTAAAAAAAATCCTTATCCCCCATTCACTCACAATTTAATTGAACGTAAAATGGACTGTTGTGCACTATCTATGACAGAAGCGTAAAGTGTGTAGATATCAGGCTCTGGCCTGGGGTCATTGACCAGTTCTCCTGACCTGGCTTTAGAGAATTTTAGAACAGACACTACTCTTGTACGTGACACCACAGAAATAGCTGAAAGGCGGGACAATATGTTTAAGAATAGCCAGTGGGCCATAAGTGGAATGTGGACTCTTAAACCACATGGTAATAACACGACTGTAAAACTGTTGCAATTCGGGGCACTGTGGGAAATACATGTCATGTGTATCTCCTTCAGTGTTCTCCAGAAGTCGCCATTTTCATTACAATTAAGCTCATCTCAAACCTTCATTGGATTGTGCTGTGAATCCTTGCATCCCTACAAGTGCTTCCTAGAAAAGCGTTGTTTCTGAGATCATGAGCCAGAAGAGATTCTGCTTCTCCAGTGACTCTCTTTGTAGTCACATTGTTCATCAAGTTTGGAAACAATAATGTTTTGCTGCCTCACTGCTCAAGTGTATGATTGCATTCTCTCCACATATCTGCACAGGTTTTCTCCCTCCCAGTTCCTAAAGACATTCTGGTGAGGTTTGATTGACTGTTTTTAATTATTCCTTTCTCTATAATTCTGCAATGGACTAGCATCCTGTCCAGAAACAGAGCTGTCATGTGCTCTTTCTCCTGCCTGGTAACCTATGCTTCCAGGTTGGTACAGTGTATCATCGGGTCACGCTGGTGATAGTTGGAAACTTCATCTTTTGAATTCTAAATAATCCAAGAAACTGGTAACTCTAATCATAACTAATTTCTCTTCTGTGAGTCGGTATACACAATTCAATCAATAAAGTGCCCATTAAGCTTAACCAGCTTGACCAATCTATAAACTGCACTGTAGAGTCTTCACATAAATAATAGGGGATCCCTGGGAAACACTGAGAGCACTTCTTCTGAGGCTTTGCTGCAGGAAAAGGAACACATCAGCCTCAGCCTGGTCTGAGATAAGCTAAAAACTGAATTCCCATTTGCTTTACAAACACACAGCTACAAAAATATGTACACTTTTACATTTTTAACAGTGTATGCAAATAAAACAATAAAAGACTCACATTTGTAGCAATAGAACTCATTTACAGATCCTCAGTCTTTCACATAAGCTTATATGTTTATCTATAAGGTTCTAGAAATCTTGGAATTTTGGATGCATTTTTGGATGCAATTATGAAATAGCAATGGTCAGCATAAAATAGTATGCACATGGCAAATTCTGCAGGTGGTTAGTGCTTGCAGTGGACATACAAAAGAAGAAAACAGACATGGTAATCAATTAGAGAGTCTGAATGATCTTTACTGTACAGTATGTATACCGCATAATGCTTCCTCTCTTTGTGACCTTCTGCACAGACCAGTAGAAAATACAGCATATAAGGCAACCTGTCAACCAAAATAAAACTGAGATGGGGGAAAAACTGAATCAGGAAACTATAGACCAATCACTGCTAATATTATGGAAATTATAGTTAAAGCTAAATTAGAAGAATACTTACAAAACAATGGCATTTTAGAATACAGCCATCATGGATTAATTGATGGAAAGTCGTATTTAAATAGCAAGAATAACTTAGCTTATAACACTGAGACATACAGTATACCATGATATATTAAAATTGCCTGAAAGATCAATTTGCCTGAAAGGTCCCTCATAAAGGTTTAATTAGCATTTTCATCATATATTTGAACCATGGTTTTGAGAGACTTTACAGAGTGTTTTTTTTGGTACAGTGGGCCCAGGCAGCAATTATACAAACGTTTGTGCTTCAGCTAAAATGGAAGTAAGTCAACTTTAATTCTAACAATTGCCCAAACTAACTGTTGGAGCAAAGCTCATTTCACATTACCCAAAGTTAGAAGGTGTAATATAATATTAGAAAAACATGCCGGTTAGTCAGAAGCAGGTATAAATCGGATTCTCACGAGATAATGGTTCCTACAATAAAACAAAGCAATAAAACAATATATAAATTGTAACTTCACAATGCAGCAGCTTCAACTTAAGAGTTATTCAGTCATACGTAAGGGAAAACAAATCACATACAGTAACTCATCTATCTGTAGAACTAGAATCCCACTGCTCATTGCTGTGGTTTTTCATTTAAGCATCATAGGTTCTTAATTTCAGTGTGGAATTTCATGTTTGTTGTAAGGTACAGACCTTAATGGCAAGAAAGCGATTTGGGGCCTTCTTAGAAAAGTATGATTGCCAAACTGCCACACAGATCTGAATATACAGTATTAAATAAGTGAGAGGATGAATTGATAATATGAAAGATGTATCTCTGTGAAAATATATAGTATTACTAATAT